TAACATGAAGCCTCGCCATGCGACGAAACGTTGAACAGGGCACAGGCGAGAGCCAAAAGGAGTAAGGAAGAAGACAAAGCCATATCTACCGCAGGAAGCACGCCGACAGTCTGCTCAGCAGAAGAGACTGGGAGAACAATACTTGGGGGAATCAGGAGGCCTTGCGATGACTTCATTTTATAAGTTGCGACCTCACAAGCCGAGCGTGGTGAAAATCGAAAAAGGGTACAGCTGAGGGGCGAATTACTCATTACTGCGTTTGCATATAAGGGGCGAAATTTGCTCCACCCTTTCAAAGTTTTGTAGCTTCCCAAAACGGGATTCCAGCCTCCGAGGAGCCTATCATCAGAGAAAATACGGAGAGCGGTGGTGGCCTACCATGTGCGCTGTACGCCACAGCGGCCAAATTTCAGCCTCCCTCGTCGTGAACGACGTGCATCCGTTCTTAGGAAGAGCAGTTTGTGTGCCTGCGTGACAGATCGATGTGCGCGGACCCTTTTGCTCAGGGCCTCAGGCACTCGAGTCATTCTGGGCCTGAAGGCACCCCTTAATCGACCAAAACACGTCATGGACTAAAAACTCGACACAGAAAAAGAAGATCCCTGATAATTGGGCCAGAGGCCTATCCGGAATCCGGACGTTTTTGGCCAGATTTTGAACTCTATGCCAGATTTTGTCCGAACGTTTCGACCCCAACCCTCGCTGAGGCCGGGTGAGTGGTACGGACGTCGAACCTTCGACGAAAGCGGGCCTGATTTTTGTCCGGACGTCAGCGGGGGCAGGCGCCTGGCCGACCGACCACATGATATCGTCCTATGTCGGCCCGCCCGAGACTAATTGAAAGGGCAACGCTAAGATAAGATCGACGAATAGCATGTTTTAGGTGTTTCAATATTGCTTGTCTTACTTTGATCAGAGATGTAAACTTGTGGAATAAGAGAGATTACAAAGTTAGAAGCTGCGTTTTGTTACAACTAATAGCTGGCTTATTGCGCGAGTGAAACTTGCGTCGGTTAACATTGCCGCCCTCGCACTCAGCACGACTGACGCCATCCAAGCCATTGACCAGTCTGCAGTGACTGGAAAGGAAGAAAATATCCTGCTGATGATGCGCCGCCAATTGTCCTTGCTGCCAGGCAAGCTGCTCTTGCCATACCTGTTGCCTATGCACACCTTCTCTCTGATCCCCTCCCCCCTGTATCAGCCCTGCTCGAAGGCAATTTCCCATATACGGCACCAATCAGTAGTTGCACCAATATATTACTGTCTGTATCATTGTTACTAGTATCCAAAACGGTTTTTCGCTATGTACAAAGGAGAAAATGCAGGTTTGAAAGCCTGCCGGGCGAGCTTGGGGGTGAGCGAAAATTCGCTGGGCCTGCCCGTAGTCCGGACGTTTTGGGGGCCGGAGGCCCCGAGGCCTGATTTTGTCCGAACGTTTTGACCCAAAATTGCCCCTCCTGTCCAGACGTTTTTGGCAAAATTTTGGAGGGCCCGAACAGGCATCTGACCCAATTATCAGGGGTCCTAGAAAAAGAGGAAGAAAGCCATGCGGACACGCACCGAGCCGTAGCCTATGAAACTGGCCTTAATCCGATCTACAGTCGAAACATGCATGAACAGTGGAAGGGACGAGTTTCAGTAGTTCCTCGATCGCTTGAAGGCGATATGCAATGATATTCAAGGGGATGTTTCGCGCTGTAGGGCCTGTCCTGAACAGTGTTAATATTGATATCAAGCACCGTGTAGGCAACGTGCTTTATTACTTACAAAGTTGTACGGTGTTGATAGTCTCCCCAAACCGAATGAATGGACGCAAGAAGATGCCAGCAGTGAACGATGCAGGTTATTAGGCGCTATGATCCAACATTGTTAAAGCTGCGAGCTGTGGTGTGGGTGGACAGCATGGTGCTGAGGGAGTACCGCGAGAATAGCTATGGCCAGACCTTACCATCGTCAGCCGGCGACGCGGGAACTCCTTCAAATTCTCGCCCTGCTCTGAGAATTTGTCGAAAGCCAGAAGTTAGACCGCAGATATGGGCTTACACAATTCGGGAGGGGTGAACGCGCTCGCTGCCGTTTTCCGAGGTTCGGGATTAATGCACTGGAGTCTGGGGCGGAAATGAGTTCTCATTGCGAGCTCAGGCCGGCTGAAACCGAGAAAAAGGCCGAACGAGAGCTGCACACGATCTGGACAAACCAGGCCGGAATTCTCGGGACAGGACGGTGACGGCCGCACGAGCTTTTGCATTGCCATGAGCGACTTAGCGGTCATCGATCATCTGTTACTGAACCAAAGTTTTGCCTTCCAATTTGCCTTCCAAAATATCAATACGGCATCCAGCCTTAGACGTACTCCACCACCTACCCGTCTACCTCATCTGAATTTGCACGCAGACTCGGCTGGACCAAACTGTGCTCCAGCCTCTCCCGACATGTCAATGCCCTGCTAAGAGCCATGGTGGCATGCAAAGTCAGTTGCCTGCAGGACAGAGACGAAAATAAAGGATGTTATGGGAAGAAAATTGCAGCCAAGTGAGCACCAGCCACGAACACACCAGCCTCAAAAGCAGCCGCTACGAGATCAGCCGCCACGAAAACAACTTCCGAGAAAACATTAATTGTGTAGCGGAGCGAAGCCGTCCCTTGTTATCCGAAAAAGAAAGCCCTGCTATCGTCCCATGAGTCTGATTTCAAGCCAGCGTAATGGTGCGTATACAACGGCCGCGAAGCCAGCAGCAAGCTCGAAGCCGAGGTCGGCACCAAACAAACCGCCGGCAGCTTTGCCTATCGGTCCTGTGTACCAGACTTCGGTCATGCCGACGACGGCGCCAGCAACACCACAACAGCCCGCGACAATACCGGCTACACCAACGGGGAGGCTGGATATACTGTGAGCACACGAGCAGCGTTGGAGTGTTGCAGGTGACACTTACCGACTCGGTGTGTCCCAATCGTCGAGGTTGTACCCTCCGAGCGGCCCGTTGGGACGACGGAAGATGAAATGCTCCTCGGCAACGATGACTATGAAGAACGCTGTCCAGTAACTGAGGATACTCAAGAAGTTGGACAAGATCTCGGAGAAGTGTTCGCGACCAGCGACGCCGGCGACGGTGTATATGACAAAGGCAAGGAACACCCAGAAGAAGCGTGGGACGATGGCAAAAGGGCGGCCAAGGGCCTGCATCGACAGGCCGGCGGAATAAGTGTTTGGGATGTTGTTTGCACTACGCAAGGACGCCTATCAGCACAACGAAGGTGGTGTTACTTGAACAGAACACGTACACGACCGACATCGCGAGCAGGACAAGGATAAACTTGCCTCCGCCTTTCCATGGGGAGAGTACCTGGCTCAGCAGACCACCAGTGCCACTATTCGTAAACGCGTCGACGTATGCCGGCTCAGTAATTGTCATCAAGGCAGCACCGAGGATCTCAACGAATGTGATCGGAATGAACAACCCTAAGAACGTGAGGATGAAAACGCGGACACTGGATGTATTGGCCGGCAGCCTGCAGTTGTAATCAGCTGCAACTGGTGCCCACTGGAATGCATCATGTCAAACTCAGGTGACGATAAACACGGAACTGTAGACTTACGCCGGTGACAGATCCAAAGACAATTCCTCCAAAGCTGAGAATGTCCGCAGACAAATTTCTGCCGGTGTCCTCGTTCGCCTTCTGAGCACTGATGTCGAAACCGGCGTGCCCACCAAGACCCCACAGGAAGAGCATGACGATGGACACAACTATCCAAGCGTACCGCTCGTAAATGTGCACGAGGTTGTAGCCAACAAAGCAGGGGATCAGACTGCAGATGCCAACGATGATGATGCCGACTACAAGGGGAAGGGTTCCTGGGTTAATCGACGCCAGTGTCTGACCACCGAGAATTACTGCCGTGACCGAGAAGCCAAGCCTAGGAGAATGCTTCAGTACGTCGCGCCGTAAGCATTACTTTATTGGCGCTTACTGCGTCAAGATATTCAAGACGGAGTAGATGGAGCCGCCGACGTAGCCTGAGCTATACCGAGTAATGATCATCGTTCGGAGGCCGGTCTTGGGACCCAGTATGGCGATAAACGACGTGCACACGGCACCAAGAGCGCCAAAGCAGAGGATCACCGCAACAGCATGCCTAGGTGTTGATCAGAACAAGAACGCAGCACGGGCGGTGGGTACATACGGGAGGGTGAGGGTGTAGAATTCCTGGGCCAAGACTCCGATTGGAATGGTCGTCAACACACAATTGACTGACCTATCGCCTCCATATCAACAACGATGACTCAAGACAAGTCACGCGACATATGAACTCACCACCACATCAAGAGGCTAACCAGCACGGTTTAGCGACAATGCGAACGCACTGTCAATAATTGACACGTACTTGTTCCACACGTTCTTGCTCTCCCTCTCGCTTTCCGGGACCCTCTCGACACCTCTCGCCTCAACACCACTAGCGAAGAGTTTCTGCATGATAGGCCCAAGCTTGCCGTACCGCGCGAGGCGGTTGGCGATGATCGGGTCGCCGGGAACAGCGTCGGCAACGACATCGTGGACGAAGCCCTTCTCCTTGTCGTCGTCGTAGCTTTCAGACATGGCAGCGACGGGAGTAGAGGGGCGGATGGCGTGAGTAAACTGTAGCCATTGGGCTCAATTTATGGCAAAATTTTTATCGGGTGAGTCGAATCAACATTCCTAACGCGTCGGAGACTGGTTGATGCCATGAGTTGCTCCCCTTATCTCGCCGCTCAGCGCTCAAGCGCTCAAGCGCGGATCAAGCATGTCTCGCAGCTCCGCATTACTTGTCAATTTTCCTGGGGTCTGTTGACCACCACACTTGGCTCTGAGATCCGGAAACATTCATTTTTTCTGCCGCAAAATGCGCCTTTTAGCGAATGGTGTGCGTTGATGTCACGGCCTTATCAGCCCTTCCGGTGGACATTTGACCGTGGCGTTCATGAGATCAGTCGACCACCCGGTTCTTTCGCCCTGTTCGCGTGGCTGAAATAGCTTAGACGCTCTAAGGCGGCCGCCGTATCTCTCGTGGCTGTCCTTGCAGCCTTGATAAAACGCCCTAAACATGAAGGAAAAAAAAGGTGCAATGAAAGCAGCTACAGTCAAATCGGCATCTATACAGGTGGCTTGTGCAAGAGAAAAAGGTATCGATACTTTCGCGCTACGAGTAACCATTCTTGTCCTGGTCTAGGCAGGGAATCCGTGCGCAGTTCAGGGCCTCAAAGCAACCCAGAACATATCCCAATTCGGTAGACCAGTGCCTTTAGATCCTAACAAGGACAAATAATAGTTACGGCCGTACAGGCCCGGGCTCGCGTTTCCTCTTGAAAATTAACCCTCGACGCACGGAACAGTCAATTGATCTCACGTTTGTGATCCTTTAAGACTAGTCATACAGTAATCGGGATTTGCTGCGTCGTCGACTATGGGGCCGAGAGCGTGGTACTCCAGGAACCGGGACGTGTCCCGCTGACACTCACCCCCTCGGCAGTACATCAACCCACTTCGAGCTTTCTCCGGGATCCTCGATTCCAACTTTCAACCTATCCCGGGCCTCATGTCTTGCCACGGCAAATGAAGCTCATTTATCGAACTCAGGTGAGCAATTTCCCCTCGCTGCTCTCTTTTTTCGGTCCTCGCAAACTTTGAGTTCTACAGCACGGCGGCATTGCATGCTGCATTAGGCTGTCGTGCTTCCCATACCTTGTCTCCAGGTGACTTGATGCCTTGCTGCCGTTCTCAGCGCTCCTTCTAAGTTCCTGCTAACTATGAACTCGTGGTCATAGCGTGGCTGGCCCTAGACCTGCATCCGTTCATAAGGGTTCGAGTGACGCATCCCCCCGGCTCATTCTTCTCTACTGCCTCCTCTCGCAGCCTACGTCCCCAGGCATCAGGCCTCAGTACTCAGTACTTAACGTCTGTAAGTCCCATATCTTATAGCGAACGCCCTGGCAAGCCGCTGCACTACGCGCTCCTCAGCCCAAAACAGACAAGGTTCCATCTATCGTGGGCGCCTAGGGACAATAACACGTTAGACCACTACTCTCATCGTACTGCGCTACGAGACCGTCTCTAACCTATCTTCTTCGTCTCCTGCTTCAACATCCCTCGGGCCCTCCTGCGACTCTCAATCCACCGCCTTCCAGGGTTCTCCTCTGCAATATCGCCACAAGCATTCGCAAGCAAGTGCGCCACAATCTGCCCCTTTACCCCGTGTAGTGTTCGTCGGCAGGCTACTGGCTTTCACTATGCCTCAAGCCATCTCTCCCCGCCACCCTTCAGGTGAGTTTTGACATGGGACTTGACTGGTCACACGACCATAGTCTCACTCGCGCCACCTTCTAGGGTCGGTGTTTCCATTCTCTAATCCCGGGCGACAAGCCGATCGCAAACCCAAGGCTCCCACTTCGAGAACGCAGGTATATACTTGAGATGGGATGAGATTTGAGCATGTCTGACATGGATAGCAGACAAACCCACGCAATTGGGATCCCAAGCGAGTGGCCAAATATTATGCCAAACACGGCCCTCCTGCAACGTCTCCGTTACTGGCGCAGATTGTCCTGGATAACAAGATTGATGGACATACGCTGTGTGACATACCAGAAGACCTCCTCTCAAGGTAAGTCGTGAACGTTCACCGTTACGCCGGTTTTGTGTTTTAAAGCGACCTTTTTTCGCGTGTTATAGAGTGGTGGAAGATGAACAGCTGGCGGAGGATTTAAGATCAACTGCACACGATTTCCGTGAGAGAGCAGGTGTGCCAGTCTCGCCAACATCTCGTCTACCTCGAGTGCAAGATATTGCGCAGTCACTAGCGCGCCTTACTGAACTTCCCGTGCCTTCGCTGACGAGATCTCCGGATCCCGTGGAGGAGCATCCACCGTCTCCAGCTACACCGCCACCCTGGGACTGGTCTGATGAAGAAGAAGACCCTGCACAACACTACATCGGCTTCGATGGCGTCCACAACTTCCTGCACTTCGGCTCCCCTTCGACCGCGCCCCAGCTGTTTCAGCCCCTCCTCACCGTATCGCCAGAAGCCACGTACGAGCTCTCTGCTCTCGACGTGCCCGATCTTCACAGAGCTGCAGAGTTTGCCTCGGCGGAAGTGGAGGAGGTTGCGGAGACTGACGTCGATGCTGTCGGCGGAGGAGATCACCCTGACCTAACCCCGACTCGGGGTGATCTCCCCAGCCGCCAGGATGCGCCGCCGAGCGCGACAGAAGAACGGCGGGACGTTGAGACCCCAGTAGAGGCGCCCGTGGTGCCCCAAGAGCGTCCGAAGCTTCGTCTCAACTCTCTTTCCAGCATTCCTTCTCGCCCAGACAGCTGCCCTCCGGGCGTTCGCCTTTCCACGTATCTCCCTCCTCGCGAGCCTCCCATCGTCCGGAAGATCTACATGGAAGAGGCTGTGCAAGCGGCACCTGAGGAGGAAGTGCGAGTTGTGTATACGTCAACTGCGATTCAGACGAGGTCTTTTGCGGAAGCCTGTGTGCAGGCAGAACCCGAGGTCCAGTCCGACGGACCAGCTGAACTCACATTGCTCGAAGGCGCCATGACTGCGGTCACCGCTCACGAGACGAATACGAGTGAGCCTGACGCTGAAAGTCCCGAGGATAAACTCCAGGAGCATGGTTCGAAAGGCTCTGAAGACCTAGTCGTTTCTCACCCACTGTCGTCAAGCGAGCCTACCTCCCAGTCTCAGGACGGGAGTAGTAATGCATCGAAGGACCAGACATTCACTAATGACACTGTTCAGAAGGTGTCGGAAGTGGAAAGTGGAAGAGCCGAACAAGCAGCCAAAGGCGCGGAGGGCAAGGGCCAGGACGTAGTCGGAACCCCAGAGCAGGGGTCAAGCAACGCGCGACAGGCTTCTGCTGAAGAGCCTGAAAACGCGGAGTTGTCGACCTCGGACGGTGTCCAGAACTCACTCAACGCACCGTCCCTACTCCGCGAATCGTCCCTCCCCCTGGCTCAGCCGTCGCCTATCACGCCTGGCATGCAGTCTGAGCTGAGGGCGGGCGTGATGGAGCCCGACACCCGGAAATATCGCCTCGCGGGATTCGCGTCCGGCACTGTAGGCGGGAGACGCGACAGCAGCTGGGCGTCGGGCCAATCGCCCTCGCCATTGCCCGCCATTTCCGAGGCCAAGCCTGCGGTGCAAGCTGCCTCTGGTGGCTCTACGCCCAAGCCCAACGCGTGGGGCAGGGGCCGACCCGCTGGATTGCGTGCTCCGGCTCCTGTTCGAACGTTCTCAAGCCCTGCGGATATCGAGCTCCGTTCCGTGCCTAACGCACAGCCTCCCGCCCAGAAGGCCAAGCGTACACAGTCTCAGGATTACACCAACAAGCCGTCGGTCATACCTGATGACAAGCGCGCTGCCGGCCTCATGTCACAGAAAGAGAGCAAAGGGGGCTCGGTCTCGTCCGGCGGCGTGAAGGGAGCAAGTTCGGAAAACACTAAGGACAAGAAGAAGCTCACAATCTCCGCTGCTACTGCTCACGATCAGTCACTTGTTACTCCAGATGTCGCGTCCGAACAGTCCGCCACGGCGTCGGACCCTTCCTTAACCCCAAATGCCCACTCCGACGTTCGCACCGCAGCAGGGACACAGAAGCCCTTGCCTCCGCCACCATCGCAGCAGGACAAGGCTCCCGAATCCGCGGGAGCAACAAACGAACCGCCGGCAGAGTCTACCGAGGGCAAGACCGACACACCTCAGCCCGTCTCGGCGCCAGCCGATGAAGGAGCAGGCGCTTTGTCTCAGGAAGACAAGACCGGTGATCACGAGGAGGTGGACCAACCGTCATTTGACGAACACGAAAAGCCTGAGGAGTCGATCCCGCAGTCGACAGGCTCAGGGACCGACGGTCATGAAGAGCCGACTCCACCAGTCGGCCAAGGTTCTGTGGACGCCAAGAACGCCTCTACCGCGTCTTCGGCGGAAGACGCGGGTGCACGCGGCGAGGAGGTGAATGGCGCTTCCGGTGCGAACGAACACCAGGACGAGTCCTCCCAATCTCACCATGAGGAGAGCGAGGGCTCCCGCGAGCACCAGGGCCCGAAGGAGAACGCTGAGCAGAGCGTTGCGCGAGGGGATTTCGACGTTGGGAGAGATCTGCATCCCACCGAGCCTGTAGTCTCGACTAAAGACTCGATCGACGAGAATGTCTTTGGTGAAAATGCGTGGGTGCCATTATCATCTGACGCGCCCGAGGACGAGGGGAAGGGACAGTCGTTAGATGCCGATGGCGACACCGGCGGCGCGACGGGCGACCAGGCTACGACGCATGCACAGCCTGCGACGGACCTGCCAGTGGGCTCCGCGACTCCTGGGAATCGCCCGCCTGAAGGCGAAGTGGATGGGTTCTCGATGGTCGAAAGACACGAGGTCAGCCCCCCTACCGCGCACCCCGGTGCCCCCACGCGTCCTATGCGGGACACACAGCGCCACGGTTCGCCGCGCGGCTGGGAGGATATCAGTATCGACGAGTTTGCCTCGGCGCGTAGCTCACTGGATGTGGATCTCGAGAAGGGAATTATCGCTCAGCCACAACCGACACAGGCGATGCCGAGGCCGGACGTGGCAGACAGGCTGCGCATCACGCTTTCTCCGCGCCGGCAAGACTCGCCCGCCACCTCGCGAACGCCGACCTTGCGCGAGCCACCCAAGGAAGAGACAAAGAGCTTCAGCTGGCTCGACAGAGGGAAGCATTTCTTCTCCGAGCTCGTTGAGAACGTCGCTTCTCCCACCACTCCTATGAGCGAACCAGAGACCCCAGGTGGTAGAGAAGACATCGACCTCGAGGGTGTGTTTATCGAACTGACCGACGCGGAGGTTGCCGCGTTGCCGAAACCCGAGAAAGATAAATACAAGAAAAAGCTGAGGAAACGCAAGAAGGCGCAGGAGAAGAAGGCTGAGAGTGAGAAAATAGATGCACTTCTTGCTACGAGTGCTCGGGGAAAGGCCTAATGAGTACTACTCTGTGAGACAGTACATCCCCCCTCCCGAACTTTGCGCGTATGCGATACCCCATATGCTTCGTTATGCAGATACCCTTGTAGCATGCATCTTCTACTTCTTCTATGTCACACAGTATCTCCCAGTTATATTATTGTGTTGAATGTTCTATATACGATACTTGAAATCCTAAAATATCGTGCGTAAGCAGTGCACTACTCATCCGAATTGGTGTCCTATGCACAAGCAGCTACATGGGTACGGCTCACCATACCAATATGCACGTAAGTCTCTAACAAGGCGCGACTCGCACCTCTCCACCTCCTTCTAAAATACTCTGCACCTGGCCTACCTCTGCGAACCACGTCCACCCTTTCTGCACACCCTGACTTCTTTTGACATACGGGTACTTCGCTTTCCTCCAGACACTCTTATACGGCAGGCCTTGGACGTGTAGGTGCAGGTGGTCAACGGAGTTGAACGGGGGGATGTGGAAGCCCATCATGCGCGAGGCAGCGGGCACAGAGAGTTCGCCGAGGAGGCTGTGGCCGATCTCGGACATACGTTGTACTGAGAACTCGAGCTGTCAGGATTTTCGCGTGTGCTAGGAAAGATAGGGACAAGACGCACTCATGGGAGCGTCCGACGGTTTGAGAGTCTTCACGCTCTCTTCCATGACGCGATCTCAGCATCTCATCGTATGCGCGTATGTTAGTGACTGACCGACATGTCTCTTCGGGATGACGAGTAAGTGATGCTTTGCCGCTGGACTGTGATCATTGAATACTATAAAAGTCTCGTCCTATACGCGCAGGTACACTCTCAGCCTCGTCTGACACACAATACGAAAGGCAGACGGGCGTACCTCCCAGACTACGTCAAAGCCCTTCTCTCGCGAGATGTCGCAGAAAACACATCCTGGAATGCGATACCCGGTGTCGCTTTCGTCATGTAGCCGTTTGCTGCCATCGTTCTTGCGGAGACCGCGGGTGAAGAGACTAAAAGCAGAGGCGAGCATAGAGGACTTGACCAAGCGCCCGACTCTCGCAGGGCCGAGATGTGAGATTGATATTCATTGACACTGAATCCATGTATGTACAGAGTAAAGTATAGAATTTACAGTATGCTTCCAAAATGTAGCATAGGGTTTAAGATACCGGCCAGAGCCACAATAGCAGTCAAGCTCTTCAGTCAAACGAAGCAGTTTGAAGCAGGCGAGACTTCGAGAGAGAGCAAAACACAGCGGTGGCAAGACAACCGAGTATTTTACCGTCCCATGATCCAGACAGTTTTGCGATCCTCCAAGGGCATGCCAGCCTTGTATTCAGCTTCATTGCGGGTGCGCTTGGCAGTCTTCTTCTTGCCCGTCGCGATGCGTACCTTCTCAAAGTAGACATATCTATGTGGTGATGCTCAGTCTTCCGTTTGAGAATCCAAGACAAGCAAGACATACGCGGAATAGTACGTGCCATTCGATGCACCGCCGGTGGGACCAGTCGCTTTCACTGCGGGAATAACGTCGATCTTACATAGTTGCCGAGCAGAAAGAACGGAGCGTACTGAAACGCTGATAGGAGTTGTTGTTGATGTTACCAATCGCCTGGAGCCAGTGTGTAACCTAGACAATCGTGTTAGCAGCGGCAAAGCTGGCCAATACCGAACTGGACTGACCTTGAAGCCGGGCTCCTTCTGCAAGAGACGGATCTTGCATCGAATTTCATTGCAGTCGTCACTGTGTACCGCAAATGGGTTAGATATCCTCAACACAAGGCTTTTATAATGACGCGTACAAGACAAGCACGCCTCTCTGTGGAGCTCATCATGAATAAGCAAATGAGCGGTAGAATCAGCGTCGCCATCTCACCTCGTCTTCTCCTGGCAGCTTCACCTCCCACCAGTTGTTAGGCGCATTGTCTTCAACTTTGGCCTTGCCTTTACCCTTCTTCGCGCCAGTCGACGAGCTTTCAGCAACATCAGAAGTACGCGCTTTCTTCATTGCAGGCCGCGCTTGGGTGGCGGCCTCTTGCTGAGACTCGTCTGCGGTAAGGTCAACGCTGGGCTCGAGGACGTTGGATTTGCGCTTGGGTGGCATATTTGTGGGTGAGGAGTACTGATGTAGTGGGGAAGGAGAGATAGGTGGGCGGACGGGTATATATCATGACGCTTCTATATATTGTCCCACTAAAGCTTGATACGCGCGGGTTATGTCGCGGCTAGGCCTGAATCATGGGCGTCTACAGGCCACCCTGTCAAGTGACCGCGTTGGGATGTGATGTCACGCGTCGTGCGCTTCAATATCGGTTTGTGAGAAATTGCGACGAGTCTGCCCAACGTGCGCCGCGATGAGCTCGACGCGCCGAGATGGCACGGCAGCTCAGAGAACCGTGGCAAGTCAAAGTATATACCCCGTCTGCTAAATATTCGTATCTCAGTACTCAGCGGTAAATGCGGCCCTGGGCTGGCATCAGAGATACCAATATCTAGTCCTCAACCGGTACGTTGCCAGGTCATCCTACCGTGATTGCGTAGTGGAAACGCGAGATGTGCATGCGCTAGCCAGAAACTGCTCCTCTGCCACTGACTTGCTGCCGATGCCGCATGTGAGCGTTCAGTTCCGATGTGCGTACCGCTTACTGACCCGTAGCTCCCAGTGCCAGCCCCGGGTATTCAAGTAAATGCGCACCCGCCACAACACCGACCCCCCCCCCCCCCCTTGCAGATATGTATAAATTATCGCTCATTCAGCCGCATGACCGCAAGTGTCGTTGTTTGCATCATGCTTGAAGCTTAAAGCCTGAGAGCTGGTGTGCCCATCAGCGTCGAACAAGAATCCAAGTACTGCCACGGAACGGTCAGAGACGGTCAGTGTGCATGTGCTCAAACCACGTTCGAAGCCAATAACGCGTCTTCTTCTACTATTACTATCTACGAGGGCCTTTATCCTACAAATCACGAACTAGACTACTCCCACCGAGCAGCGCTCGTAAGTCTGCGTGTTTTGCGATTTGTACACCCCAAACACCTGCCTGCTAAGCAGAGCATCCCTCGGATGGTCAAAATGAGCGCAATATCAGACCCTTCAGATGCTGTGGTCTGATCTCTCGCATCTTCCACATTCCCGTATGGGCGCGATCGACGCCGAAGCCGAGGCGTTTCAACTCAGACATGTTATATAGGGACAGTGTCCTGTTGCAGAACCGCCATACGTATTCCCTCGCATTCCTCCAGTACGCGATATCGCTGTGCAGGAATGGCGTGGGCTGACGCGCTCCCTCTCAGACTCGCTGACCTGCACCATGGCCAACCCCGCAGCCCCTGTTAAAACCGGCACGATTCCGTTCACCCGCGATGGCGAGACCTATCAAACCTTCTACAAGCTCTTCGGGTCTCTGGAGAACAGCAAACGTCGACCCCTAGTCATGATGCACGGTGGTCCAGGGCTCGTGCACGACTACCTCCTGCCCTTCAGCGACCTCGCCGTGATGGCGGACACCCCCGTAGTGCTGTACGATCAGATCGGCAACGGGCTCTCGACGCACCTGCGTGACAAGCCCGCCGACTTCTGGTCCATCGAACTCTTCATCGACGAGCTCGAGAACGTGCTCGCGCACCTGGGCATCGACGGCGACTTCGACCTCGGAGGGCACAGCTGGGGCGGGATTGTCGGGACCGAGTTCGCCGTGCAACGCCGGCCGCGCGGCCTGCGACACCTCGTGCTCACGGATGCGCTCGCCGCGTTCTCACTCTGGATGGAGAGCAACATGAAGCTCATGGCGGAATTCCCGCAGGATATCCAGGCCGCTCATGGCGGGCATGGCGGACCCCAAGGCGTACCACGCCGCGCTCCTCGTGTTCCACAGGACCTACGGGTGCACCGTGGTGCCCCCACCGAAGGAGTACTTGTATATGCTCGAGATGGTGTTTGGTGAAAAGGGAGACCCGACGGTCACCTCGGTTATGTACGCCCCCTCTGTCCTTCCCCCTTATTCGTGAGCGTCTGACACACAAGGTGCTGCTAGGTTCCCCAAGATCATAAATTGGTCGATCATCGACCGATTGCACAACATAGAGGTGCCGACACTCGTGATGAATGGAGCTAAGGACATTGCGCAGGACTTCGTCATCGCACCATTCTTCCAGAAGATCCCGAAGGCAAAGTGGATCACCTTCGCGAAATCTAGCCATACCCCGTTCTGGGAGGAGCGCGAGCTGTATATGAAACAAGTAGCAAACTTTTTGGAACTGTAGCTACGGGCTAGCAGTTTCTACATGCAGATACAGGACAACAGGAGGTACAATGAAAGGTCACAAGCGCCACCAGTAGTCATACTCATTGTATACGTACGAATGACGTTCCACGCATGTATATGAATCGCACACGATATGATATTTGGATAAACAAGTACAACAGTTGCTAATGCCCGTTCAAATGGTAGGAGAGCCTATTCTACAAGGCGCAAACGAGTGGGTGCTACATAAGACGAATCGAGAAGCCAGCGAGGAATCGTGGCCAGTATAGTGATACAATTTTCTTCCGTTGGGCGCTCCCGTATCTCAGGAGCCAGATACAACGAAGATCAGATGGTTCAGTTGAACTTAGGGACGTCAAAGGTGCCCTCGGGGTCTATCGAGAATTGGTCAGTTGTCGCATACGACGGGTTGAGGAGTGTGAAGCTCACCGGCACCGGTCTGGTAGATGTACTCTTTGTCCTTCTCGGCCAGGTGCCTGAGTTCGCTGATGAGCTCGTGGCTGCGCACCTGGATCCGCTCGTTGAAGCGCGACGCGCCCCGGACAGCCGCCTCCGCGACGTGATACCGACTCGTGTGGTTCTGAAGCATCATGTCGAGCGCGCTCGTCGTGGTACCCTCCTCACGGTAACCCTCAATGGAGACGCGGTCACCGAGGTTCGGTCGGCCGAAGATGAGGCCGCGCAGCTCTTGTGGGTAGCCGTGGTAGTTGAAGTGGATCGGGCGATCCTTCGTGAGGAGGTTGTCCCAGTCTACGTCGTTCAGCGAATGCGGGTGCGATCTGGCGGGACCGAGAATCATCAGGTCCGTTACGTTCACTACACGCACGCGCAGCTCAGGCACAAGCTTGCGCAGCAACACAACCGCAGCGATGACTTCAAAAGTGACCTCCACACCGATGCCGACAATCACAACGTCAGGGGTAACACCTTCGTCGACAGAAGCGAACTTCCAGATGGAAGCACCAGCAATGCAGTGCTGCAGATACAGTGATGAGCGTCATGTTCCCAACAGGTCAAGAAGACGACACACCTTATCAGCCTCCTCGGGGCTCAGCCAGACAGGCGTAGGTTGCTTGCTGCCGACCATGAGGTTGATGTAATCTTTCGCGCGCAAGCAATGCGCAACCGTGCTCAAGAAGCAATTGGCATCGGGCGGGAAGTAGACACGTGCGAGAGCGGGCTTGAGGTTAAGTACAGCGCCTATGAACGATGGGTTCTGATGCGAGAAACCGTTGTGTTCTTGCCGAGTCCAGGTCGAGGTCTCGACGTAGTTGAGGGAACCACATGGCTGGCGCCACGTCGTCTCGTGTGCCATCTTGACAAACTTGCTGTACTGCACCATCATGGTGTGCACGATCCCGAGGAAAGCTTCGTACGATGGGAAAAGCCCGGTACGACCGGTAAGTGTGTAACCCTGGAGCATGCCCTGGCAGGTGTGCTCGGACAAGATCTCGATAACCCGGCCACCTTGTGCGCGCGATGCGACATCCCATTGAAAGTTTCGGCCGCTATCCCGGAGGACGGCGTCGAGCTTGTTCGATACGAGCTCATCTGGAGAAAAAATACGGAAAGTGGACGGATTCCTGAGAACGAGTGAGTCAAAAATGCGTGACGCTAACATGTCAACGCATACCTCTTGACAACTTCATGGAGATATTCTCCGATAGTCTTCATGCAACTCGCCTCCGTTCCCTTTTGGACTGTAACGCCACTTTCGAGCCAGTTCGGCACGTCCAATGGTTCATAGCTAGCATAAGACTCTTTCCTCTGCCCAAGCTTGAGATGGTCTTCTTCAGGAATGATCTGCAGAATCTCCTCGTTGGGCTCGCCGTTGGGCAAGAGCTTGTGGGGGTTATATGACGACAGCCACTCTTGAAGCTGAGCACGCTCTCCCGCGTCCTTCTTCGCCTCCGGCAAAGGTACTTGGTGGGCATGGAAAGAACCCTCGACGAGTTCTCCGTGAACCTTCTTTGGTCCACCCCAGCCCTGCGTGATGTCATCAGCTGCTGCACGGAGCAAGAGAGCATAACAAGCGCACCTTAGGTGTGCGGAGGATGAGCACTGGCCAGCGCGGTTTGACAATCGGATTGCCACTCCTTGCAGCTTTTTGTATCTTGTGAATCTCACTGATTGCCCACTCCATGGAGGCAGCGAGGTCCTGGTCAATGTTCTCGAGATCCTCCACAATGCGAGGTTGGTATCCGTAACCGCTGCGAGATTTACGTCAGTGTGGATGAAGGCACGTATGCAACGAAGGAACATACATGAAGAGAGCAGTAAGCTCCTTGTCGTCCATACAACCGTAGATCGTCCGCTCGGAAATCTTGAAGCCGTTGACATGTACAATCGGGAGTACCGCGCCGGATTCTGCCGGGTCAATGTACTTGTACCCATGCCAGGCGCTGCGTGTCTTTGTGAGGCGTAGTAAGAAACAAACTCGGGAAATCTACCAACGTCGCAGTCGGACCGGTCTCTGCCTCGCCATCGCCGACAACGCAAAGGGCGATAAGGTCAGGCTTATCCATTACGGCACCGAATGATACGGCAAGTGCGTAGCCCAATTCGCCACCTTCGTGGATGGACCCTGGAGTTTCAGCGTTGATGTGGCTACGGAGGCGTATGAGGTTTAGAAAATAACGACGTTCCACGATACACACCTCGGGAAGCCTCCTGGAAAGCTGAAGCCAGAGATGAGCTTCGCGAGACCAGCCTTGTTCCTGGCGTAGTCAGGCCAAAAGGTGCCGAGGGAACCCTCGAGCCAGAGGGACGCGAGCAAAGCGGGGGCACCGTGTCCTGGACCGACGATGTAGAGCATGTCCTGCTTGGTCTGGCGGATGAGACGGTTCGCGTGGGCGTAGACGAGGGTGAGACCTGGACAGGTTCCCCAGTGTCCAAGGAGGCGGGCTTTGATGTCATCTGCGCGTATCTCGCGCTCGATGAGAGTATTCTCTTTGAGGAAAATCATAGCTAGAAAGCTGTCAGGGCAGGCCCTGGAGATGTGTGCTGGGTGACCCACCGGCTGCGATGTAGTCTGCGGCATCGCGGAACGCACGAATGTTGCGCAGTTCGTCCTCCGAGAGAACGTTCTTGGTGTTTAGCTGGACTCTGAAATCGAGGAGTGCGTCCGGAAGCTGCGAGGGATCCGGAGGCGGGTTGGCTTCGAAGAGTTTCTGTCCGCCCATGCTGCGCGCAGTGAGAAATGGTGTAAGAGATGGGTGTTGAGAAATGCTGCATAACGAACCGTATTTATACCGTGGGCCATTGTGCCGTCTTCCGTGTGGAGTCCTGCGGAGCGTAGAGTGTCTGTCATGTCCGTCCCAACTGAGCAGCCGGCGCTCGGCCTCGAGTGTTCTCTTCCATGCCCAGGCTTGCCTTCCGTCCTATCGCTCGCTATTTTCTTCTTGCCCCTGTCCAGATTCATCTCAACAACCTCCGCCGTGTCCTCGTCTTGTTACAAAAACTAGAGCCCCTAAAGCGATCTCTCCCTGGTCTCGGTCACTCCAGCTCTCGGAGTGCACACCCGTGTAATCAGCACCCATCGCAAACGCGGCCCAGCGGGTGCCACATTTTATATCCCCATCTCCGCCATGAGAGGGGTGAGGGACAGGCAAAGGCAGACGACGCGGTTTAGTCCCCCGTCAGGCGATGGTCGTGCATCAGGCGACGGAGGTGTGAAATGGGTGCGCTTCGCGAAGAGTCCTGCGTCCTTGCCGCCACGGCCACTGCGAGAAGCGTTGGGTTTACGCCATCGATATGCTTCTCGTCGATCCTTGTTTGAAACTGTTGACATCTATGGCGATGTGTGTCGCTTCCGACCGACCAGGCCGAGCTCAGGGTGAGAAGGTTGGATTGTGCGGACGTCGTTGGCTTCCTCTACTCCTCCGCTTGCGAGAGGCCCGCGAAACGGAGCAGTGCAGGTAGTCAATGATGCTTTGACCCCCGCTCGTTGAGATACCGATGTAGTCCGCCCACGCCGCCCGCCTCGTTTGGGTGCGCCCATTACAAGTGCAAGCCGCACGACGGCCCATGTGCCACCATTTAAATTGACCTCGAATTATGGCTGTTCCTCTCTCTCTTTTCTCATCTGCCGCCCACAACGCATAGGCTCTGCATTCGCCACAAACAAGTACTGTATATGACGCGCTGCTATATTTTCTGTGCCGTCTCGCTGATTAGTGGACTAGGTCTGTTGGGTCTCGACCAAGAAACCATCGGCCGCATAATCAACTTGCCACAGGACAATTGCGCCCCTCTGCCGGCCTATTCTCTCGTCCGCCACCACTGGCTGTCTCGTGGCCGGCAACACCCCCTCCGCCGTCCGCATCCCTACAAAACAGACTTTCGCGGGTGGCACATGGTCGAGCAAAATGCGGCCACTTCGTGGGACAATGTCCGGTCTCCTGTGCAGTGAAAGGAACCGGCGGCCCGACTCTGGCGTGCTCTTTCTCCGCGAGCTGCAAGTCTCCCTGGACGGAGTGCCGAACTTCAGCCGCTTCAAGCTCGTTCAATGTTTTACATCTAGCCCTGGACTGCTTCTGGGAGTTTCCGTTCACATACCACCCATTGAAGACCCTATCGACCCTATGTTCTCGTTTCAGCTATGCAGGTGCGGGGAATATCCTGTTTTTTTTTTCGTTGCGCGCCGATCTGCATGGGGCTCTTGAACTCCTCGGCGATACTTTCGAACAGGCGCCACAGGCACCCCTCGGACCGATCTCGCACCAACTGATTTTGAGTTCGATTTGCTCGAACATTGTCCTGCGCAGTCTTTCTGTTGGACCGGCATACGTAAGATACGGCTCATCCGCCTCGCTGTTGTGAGGCCATCGAAGCATTTTTCGAGGTCAAAGTCGCCAGTGGCTGCGTCGATGTCACGCTGGTCATGTGATAGTAGCGCATGAGCCGTACCTTAGTAGATTTAGCGAGACCGACGAAGGCGTCGTCCATCGACTGCGCGTCATCGGCGCATCCCTTTGAGCACGGATCGGACAAACTTTGGGCGGAGACCATATCCGTGCTCACAACTCTCAAGCTGTTTATAGGCCCCGTGCAGATACCGCAAGAGAGATCTGCCGCGGATGAAGAAGCAGAAGGTGCGTCCTCTGTACAGTTTATTTACCCCACTAAGCATGGCTCACGGCTGTGCATGAGTGATCCTCAGATTGAGCACCTGTGCCGCCCTCAAGCACTTCACGCCGATGATCCGGCATACGAGCTCATCCTCGACGACGTCCCGGCTGGTCTGCACTCCGCCTTGAGCGAAGCTCCCCCCACTATAACGTGCCTTTCGTCCCAGGTCGACTTCGGCCCGTCTCGCAAGTACGAGTGTGTACTGTCCATAGCATCGCTGCTGCGCCTGGACATGCATATTGAGCGCCGGGCGAACTTGCAGTCGCTGCTCCAATGGTTTTCTAGTCTCGAGAACATGATACTTTATCTGAGTTCTGATCACGAAGGCGATGCGGAGAAGCAATGCACGCCTGAGCTGCAGGACGCCATGGAGGATATTGTCACGAGATCGAGTTTTAACTGAAAGGAGTTTTACAGAAATTGAATACTCGATGCGCATCTCAAAGGATTCGAAGCGTCATCGACAACGCGGCCGCCAGCAATCTAGCAGATTCTCTGGTTGGGCCATCGTTATCTTGCGCCGGTGGCCGTTTTGCGGTACCTCTGCGAGTTCCTCTCGCTCCCTCGCCCCCTCTATCCAAAGCTGAAGCTCGTCATAGGAGCTGATTTGAGCGGCTATATTAAACTTCGACAAGCTGTAGCACCGTTCGCTAGAAATACTGTACACAAGCACAATCCAATGAAACAGACACTAATTTACACCTCGTAAAGGTCATAGACGTCCATTGAGCCACTTAGAAGATAAGGATATGAGCGTGAATAAACATTGGAATTCAAGAGGGGGGGATGCATGGTGCGTTCATATCATCACAAAGCTTGGGTACCTGTCCTCGCCGCCGCTCCGTGCAGCCCTTCGGGCCTCTCTTGTCTGCACCCCCGCGTTGCTGTACCTTGGCCGTGTGACTTGCACCGTAGGCTGCAGGATACGCACAAAGTCGCGCTGCGTCGCAGGCTGGGAAGCACGAGCCTCTTGAACTGCAGGGACTTCGTACACCTGGAGCCGAGGGTCGCGAGTGTTTTGCATCTCAGGCTCAGGCTGGGGCACCTGCCGCTGAGAGCCATAAACCTCCTGCATCACCGCTTCGTGTGCCTGGGGTTGGGAGTCGTCGGTCTGCTGATGTGCCGAGGCCTCATGCTCCCGACACCTACAGTCGCACAGCTGCTGCGGCGCAGATGCTTGGTCACCTGCTGCGGACCGAACATTTGTGGCATCGAGCCTCGCAATGTAGTCCAACAAAGCGAGGCATAATGCAACCAAGGTTTGATCCGATGCCGACGAGGCTTGCAGTTCTACACCACCGTGGGCTGGATGGTCTGTGATGTTTGCGGGGAGAGCACCATCGCCGGAGCCCTCACCGGCAGGCTCATCGCCATCCAGTGAAGGCGCCGTCGACGCTCCGCTACTGATCATCTCGGCCTCGAGGATGTTGTGCATCAATGTTGGGGATAATAATGGGCTCTCGTCCTCGAGATCAAGAGTGAAAAATGTCGTGGCAGGGGAAGGAGGAGCAGTGAGCGGCGCCACACCTCCTTTCAAGGCAGGCTCTGCTTGCAGCCCTGTCTCGACTTCATGTGAGGACTCGTCAAAGTCCCACGCCGGAATGGAGTCATCCACATCCGGCGGAGGGCGAGCTGGTGGCAGGGTCGCTGCTCGAGTATCCTCCCTCTGAATGCGTTCGACAATCTCATTCAGGGACAGCACACCTGACATACTGCGACTTGTCGGCGGCGGTGGCTGGATGCACCGCGATACTTGGAATAAACCACGTGTGACCTCGGCTCGCAATTCATCGTCAGTGACGGTCGAGGTAATACTAGCATACTTTCCAGCTTAGACAAATGAGTGTTCAGCTTGAGATATAACTGCACCTTTGAACGACATCCTCAGTATGATTGGATAGCATCCTGCCATCGATATGGTGACTACCCAGTAAGGTGCTGGTCACAGGGGATGCAGGACCCTGGACTGTTCGGCGCGCCAGCTCTACTAGCTGGCTAGTATTTAACGATATCGCAGGCTACACAGGTATCAGTTTCGCTCAGAAGCGAGTGTAAGCATGAACTCACGAGCCGGGTTCTTCTGTGAGCAGTCTCTGTGTCATAGCGATGACAAACACGCTCGTTCATAATCCGCGATTACGGCGCCGTGCCAAGACTTGTTACAATCTGAGAGGATAGTGGCGAGGGGATAGTGATTGGGTCTCACTGAAGACTCTTCAGCAATATCGGTGATTATACCTTCAGAATGGGGTGCGGTGTCGCGAACACAGGCACAAGGAAGGTAGTACAGAGGAGATGATCAAGAGGCGATGCCTTCAAGTACGCTTAAAACCAGGTTGGGCCTATTGAGGACAGATATATATATTCGTGTCGCAACGGCTCTGCAATGTGTAAAAGGGAGTAGCAACGCCTCCACAGTTGCGATAGAGTGTTATGGAACGATACTTACTGGGGAAAAGACAAGATGGCAGTACAATGACAGCTTCGGTCGCCCGAAACGACTGTATTAGGTTCGACGGATCCCTCCGGATTCCTGTGGGAGTGAAGAGAGCACATGTTGCACAGACGATTCTCGACATCGATTTCCTTCTTGGATCGCTCGAGCCGCTCTCCCAGCATGGCCACTTGGTGGCTTCCGGCCACAAGCACCTATTGAGTAACTTACTGCGATGAGTAGATAAAAAGTCCTCTAGATCTAAACATGGGAACGAGCCTGTCCAGGGACGCGATTCGTATACTGCGAGCTTCGCTCCTGATCTTACTATCGGACAATTATATCCCCTCTTCACGAGGTCGTACCAGAGGCCACTCTGTGGGCAGAGCTCAACTGACGAAACGACTTACATCCGCCAACTGTGATGTATATTCGCTGAGTAAAGTGCAACTTGCTTATAACAATATGGCCGACTGGCCTAATGGTTAAGGCGTCAGTTTCCGGCGTTATGTCAGCTGAAGATTCTGGGTTCGAATCCCAGGTTGGTCGCTTTTTAACGTACCTTTTGCGCCAGAATCATTCTTGCAAGATGCAGCGTGCAAGACAGTCACAGTAGACCGCGAGACTGCAAATGCCAATATGCGATCCAGTACATATTCGACAAACCTCTCTTCTGCAGAGCCAGAAGACGATGCAATCGAAGAATTGTGACTATTAAGTGGGTCATAGCATGGGGTCCGATATTGCGAGACCGTCGAGCAAACGCGCACGAGTAAGGTGATCATTGAAGCAAACGGATTGACATCTATAGTACGTACACAGACTTCGTCGACTCCTTACTAAGTAGACAATCGATCGTACTAAAAGTGTGGTTAGCGGCTCACCGCTTTGGGGGCTTCCTCTTGACCTCATCGTCCTTGCACGCGTGCAGCATGACCTTGTTCGGATGTCCCTGCGTCATGCCACTGTGGCCCTTACTCCAGTCGTAGCTGACGGCGTAGGCGAAGATCGTGCCATTGCGGTTGAAGGCTGTGCACGGCACGGGGCCAGGTGCAGGCTCGAAAGTCTTCAGACGCGTGCGGGCATCCTTATCCCAGAAGTTGACGGTACCGTCGGAACCTGTCGATGACGACGTAAATATCGTGATCGCACACGAACAGGAATACTACCTACCGCATGTCGAGAACGTCCCGTGGACAGGGTGGAACGTAATGTCGTTAACCGCAAAGACGAGAGACTGATCCTTGTTTGTGGGAGACTGGTCTCTGCGATGACATTTGAAAGAGAAATTGTTGCTGAAGGGGATTGCATTAAGTGAAACACTTGAGATACTGCTTGAGGTAGCCATACCTAGAGTCTTTCTCTTCGACATATCTAAGCGAATAAATTCAATGAAAGCACTAAGACGATACATAGGGCTATCTTACTGAATAGCAACGCGTCCCTCCACACTCCCGACAGCAAAGCCATTGGCCGAGGGGAAGCAGGAAACAACTCTGGTTTGCCATTTCAGAGGAGAAGCCATGGTCTGGCGGGGGGCTCAGCGGTAACGCGCGAGAGACTTGTGAGTACACACCTTGAAGGGAGTCGTTGGATTTGTGAGGTTAAAGATTTGGATGTGGCGTTCTGCGGTGCCAACGACCATGAGGGGATACGTGACATCCATGGTGTAGCAGCGTTCAGGTAGCTGAACCGTAGATACGGGGTTCGGCGTGCGCAGGTCCCAGTACTAGTAGAGAGGTATGTGTCATCGATGGGGCTTCAACATAAGTGATGAGCGTACCTTCAACGTCTTGTCCCAACTGCCAGTGGCGAGAATGCCTCCGTGAGGGGTTTCAATCCATTTGACTACTTTGACTGGTGCATCGTGCTGTGCAACTTGCTGAGACTGGCCAGTTGTGATGTCGAACATGCGACCGGCGTTGTCTGCGCCTCCTGAAAGTACCTTGGTTCCGTCCTGGGAAGCATGGATGCCTTAGTGAAGACATGGGCCTTCTAGCAGGACCACAGTGACGCACCTTATTCCAACACACGCTCAATGCAGGGCCCTGATGGCCATACATTGCCTTCCCCTGTGTTTGTCCATTGGCGCCCACTTCATAGAGTCTCACCTTACAGTATGGAAAGCTGTCAGCCATTATAGCACTAATCTTCCAGCTCCCGCGGCCTACCTCATTGTTCCAGCTTCCGACAGCAAGGTAGTCCGCCTGTGGCGAGAATGCGAGAGAGGAAATAGAGTCATTAGGCGGATCAGCTACTTCGATATCTTTGTCTGGTGTGACTGTTGCGGCCGCCGAAGACGACGCCGCGCTGAAGAACGACATCACGGTTCTCAGGACAAGTTTGGGCGCGTGTAATGATGGTCGAGGTCAAGCGGATGCCAGCCTCCGGGACTGCTACGATGTCTATATACCTTACATTTCTGGCCAGGGGGCATGGCCGACTGGCCTAATGGTCAAGGCGTCAGTTTCCGGTTTGTCGTTAGCTGAAGATTCTGGGTTCGAATCCCAGGTTGGTCGTTTTTTGTCTTCCGGCCAACGTGGCGTCCGAGACGTTACGCCACCACTGAATCGGTACTGACAGTATTACTTCATGTTCACAGTCGATCATTTCTAATGAATGTACGTGTCATGACATGTAAACAGTGTAGGTAGCCTTAACGACGTACTACTCGTCCTTACTCCGAAGCATGCGTCTTGACCTCCCAAAGTCAATTAATGACGAAGCTGACGGCATACACTCATGCGCGAAATAACCGTTGTACAGCACAAGGACATCCATTATAAAAGTACTACAGTAGTGCGATTACAGAAGGTAGGTATCATTCTTTTCCCCATGTAAGAGGCAGGGTATCTTACAAAAGAAGCACACACAGCTCGGAGACCCAGAGACATAGACGAAGCGCGTAAAGTAAAAACCAAAGTCTATGCGTCCTTGCCAAGCGCTTTCTTTTGCTTTTCCGCCTCGAGCCTCTTGACCTCCAGCAATGGGTCAAGCTCGGACAGCGGCTGACGGTATGAGCCACCCCACCGATCGGAAAAGGTGAAATACTGTCCGTAGTTGACAGTGAAATATAGGTGATGCAATGTATGATGCGCTGGACCGTTGATAATTTTCTCCAGGGGGTGGTCGGTGATCATATCAGAGTCATGGATCTGATCAACCCGTGAGCAAGCAGATTATCTCCCACCATGTGGACACACTCACGAGGATAGTCCAGAAATTCACGAAGACGAATAGGCCAAGGTACAGCTTTTGGTGGAGCGGGAAAACGAAGATGAAGAGATGGTACGGCATTGACTGGAGGAATCCGTCGAGAGGGTGAAAAGCATATGAAGCGAAAGGTGTAGGAACTGCAATGAGTGATCAGAATGGACAGTCGTGTGTAGGTCATATGGACGCGACGCACTAAGCCATTTGTGATGCGGCTTATGTAGCCACTTGTACCACATAGGATTGTGTTCCCACCGATGGATCCAATAGATGCCGTAGTCCGTAAACGCCAGGAAGCTGAAAAAAAGTCATTAACTCACAGTACTAGAATGGGTGGTGACAAGCGCACTCACAATAACATAGAGAAGAAGAAATAGCCCCAACCGTAGTCCTCAACATTCTCGTACAACATTGAGTGCCCGCGCACTTCCGCAAGGAAACAAGGGAGAGTCAAAAGCGTCATACCCGGGAAGGATTTTAGACTGCAAATAATCTCCCGCCTGATCTGGTTCTTCAAAAATTTTGGGTGCTTCATCATCTCGTGGTTGAAGATGAAGCGGAAAGAGAGCCACGCGAAGAGGAAGTACAGGATATGTATCCCGACAAGCGTGAACACGGTGAGCGAGATCATTTGCCTTGGGATGTAATCGCGCGGCCATGCGGAGACAGGTGGCATGTTAGAGATAGCGGGCGATAGGAGGAGCTCGTCAGATAGAGGTGGGTGCGGGAGGTACGAAATGAGATGTGACCATGTCGAGCTCGATGAGGAACCTGCGGAAAGTAGTGGATAGGAGGCGTTGAGAGACGAGGCCGAGCCGAGCAAATTCGCGTCTACATTCCCCGCGAAGGCAGAAACAGGGATGAGATACGCCCAAGCCTTGTCGAGGATGTAGTCATCGGCTAGACGGAGGGCAAGATCCATGACCGAGAGGCTCTTTGCTCAATGACTGTTTTGCACGTTGAGTATGGTGCCTTTGAAGTCGGGGATGACGACGACCGGGACTTAGAGGGCAAAGACCGACGTTAAAGTATTGAAAGGAATGGACGGCCGAACGATCCGGGGTGTGTGCTTTTATGAGTCCTTTTGAGCAGAAGTCGCACCACTCTTGAATTTTGGACGGGCTTGCTTACCGATTAGATCATTGATCTGGCGTCTCATGTTCTTGGAATAGAAAATCGCCGATAGCTCGCGCTCTTCCCCCGAGCTTTTGGCACCTCTAGGCATCCCGGTCTCCAGCCTCGACCAAAGCCCAGCCTATAGTTGACGACATTTCGTAGAAGACAATTTTGTTTGTCGTGCAACAGCTACCGTGCCATAAATATAATAAAGGACGCAGATGCGTGCGCCGGGAGTCAGGACGCACATCTTTCACACGGAATAGAGGCGATCTCCAGGGGCCTCGGCCGTATGCATTTGAGGGCTGTTGGTCACCATGACCGCAGTTTGGAATGCTGACGGGAAGAAGAAGGAAGAAGAGTGCAGGACGGTACCGTCGAGGCTGGGAGCAAACCTACAACATTAATTGCCACGGCCGATCTAGAAGGCCCCTGACAGCGGCACGGCGAGCGCTATGAAACGCTGTGGCTAGCCAGGAAATGGTATCATGATATAGACAATTGAGCCGGCTATGAATCACACCCGCCCGACGTCGGTCACGAGTGGAGTGAAGGTGTATGTTTGCGATGGGTATGCGGATAATTACGCAGAGATGTATAGTAAATGCGGCCGTTGATGCCAGTGGAATGCGAACAGAATCATTGAGGCCTGCAGTCTGGCTCGGCCATGTCGTCGTCGTCGTTATCCTCGTCCTCCCAATCATTTTCGTCATCACCAAACTGATTCGAAAATTCATGATCAAAGAAACTACCACCAGCGAAAGGCGTTTCACGCACATCGGCGAGGTCGCTCTCCTCGAAGTCGACCTCATCTACGACAGAGGGCTTCGGGTCTAGCTCTGGCTTTTTGGGCGGTAGTAGAGCCTCAAGTGCCTAAAAGTTGGCATCAGAAAAGAGTAGCAACTAGGGCAGAACAACCACGTGTCCAAACCTTGTGATCAATGGTCCTGAGCCAGTCCGCGTCGGGCATATCTACTTCAAACACGATATACAGCAGGCCCTTCTGGTCGGGATTCTTGTGGAAGGGCATGCCCTCTCCTCGGATCATAATGGAGTCGCCCGATTTGTATATGTTGCCAGGTGTACTTGAGACGTGTACGCCTCGGCCGTCAAGATGTGTTAGGAGGATTCGTGAGAAGCCGAGCAACGCCTCCGACAAGGTGATATGGACTTTCGTCAGGAGATCGTTCCCAGAGCGTTCGAACGACGGATGAGGCCTTTGTTTCAAGACGAAAATAACGTCTCCAGGAGGTACCCCTGGCTGCGAGGGCTCTGAAAAACCGCTCAACCCGGTCAATGATATAACTACATACCTCTTCGTCGCCAGCACCAGACAGAACAATCCGTTGTCGATCCGTCATGCCACGCTCAACAAAAATCTCCTGACGAGTCTTCTCCTTGACCGTCTTCTTGCCCTTGCATTTCTTACACCTGGGAAGTCACAGAATGAGCTACTGGTCACGAATGAGGCCATATATACGCACTGGTCCTTTTCTCGAAGCTTCTCACCCCTACCACCACAGTCCTGACACATGGCCCGCGAGGTGCCATAACGTCCTGCGCCGAGCTGTCATGGATATGAGTCAATAAACAGTCCAGGTGAACGTCCGATAATCTTACGTGGGTCTGAACAATGTTGAATCCTTTTCCTTCGCACTTAACACATTGTTTTGGTTTCGCAGACCCCTTCGCCCCTGAGCTACGTGCATGGAGTTATGTTAAGACATGAACCCTATCGAGTCCTCGGCGGACGCACCCCTTGCAAACTGAACATACAGCCTCCTTCTCCATATTCATCTTCACAGACTTGCCGTTGTACAAGTCCTCTAGTGTAACGTCGTAAGGGATGAGAGAGTCCTCGCCCTTGCTCCTCCGCGGACCTCCGCCGGGACCGAAGTCGAAACCGAAGTGCATGCCGCCGAATAGTTCAGAGAAAATGTCAGCAGCGTCCATGCCAGGCCCACCACCACCTTTTAAGCTGTCCGGACCAAACCTGTCATATGCTTCCCGAGAGTCGCTTTGGCTCAGGATTTCGTATCTAGACCCATACTATAAGGCTCCTTCGGCGACCCAGCGCATTTTGGACTTACGCAGCTGCCATCTCCTGAAATTTCGCTCCAGCGTTGGGATCATCTGGGTTCTAGATGGGTGGTCAGAGAGACAAGGTATGATAACTGGTCGATGCAATCACTTTGTCCTACGTGCATGGGTAGTTATTCAGGTCGCGACCGGCTAGGCAGAGAGAGACGACGCACTGGGTGGTGTTCCCTGGCCTTGGAAGAGCAGTCATGTCAACATGTGGCTATTTGCTCAAACCTAGTGGCTACTTCATACCTTCTTGCGGTATGCCTTCTTGATTTCGTCTGCACTTCTCGTTAGCCTTCATAAGCAGTGGTGAATCGGGCTATTTCTCGCTCTTACCGTCGCTAGCTTCTGCATGCACGCCCAGGAGGTCGTAGAGGGATGTATCCACAACCACTTGGCCAGTGTGAATGTTCGTAAATAATTGGGAGTATGTGGATCCTCACTAGTGTGGACAATGCAACGTGTGGCGGTCAGCGACAGGACAGTCGACTCCTCCAAAGCGCACACGCCAATCGCGACGGATCAGACGGCCACGTGGTGGACTTAAATTTCACTTGTTCAAACGCCCGTCATTTCTCTTCGTCTTCGCTTTCACTTCACAAATCTTAACACAAATCCAAGGTGAGCTTCATGCTCTTTTTCTCCAGATGCCCATATGATGCTCTCTTCGATACTTATCTACATTGTCCGACTGGCTTTCGCCAGAGTTGAAGAAAATGTTTACTTCTGACCTCACATGATCTGTCGGTAGTTTCACGCTTGCTAATGTTTCGTCATGTCAGGGCCCAGAGTCTCCTTTGCCTTTTGGAGGACTCTTGCTTTTTCCAAGCTGTTGTATATGTCTTCTCCTGCGGAGAGAACGTCATAGCTAATGAGGCCACGTCGTCTTGTAGTACCTCTGTGCAATGAATTTCTACTTCGAAGCTGCTAGCGTGCTGGACAAGTTGAATGCTAAGCAAGGCTCCATCAAAGGCATAATTGGTACTGTGCCGGAGAGAAACAGGAAGCGGACGGCAGCACTCGTCGTTGAGACCCTCAAATGTGAGCACGCACTTGGCACGAGGTATTGCGGTCGCGAATGACCCTGGATACAACTCTCACAGACAGACCAGTCCTTGCCGAGGTGCTTGATGCGGCCAAGTTGCTTAGGCAGGAGAAGAAGATCACTTCCCAGAATCTTGCTCTTGTTCTTGTCCACGACCTATTATTGGCGAATGGGATCCAAGCTGGGGATGGCCCTGTTAAACAGGCTATACTGAGGCACAAGACAAGACTCAATAGCGAGCTTCAGCGCATCAAGATAAGGCGTGGCGCGAGATCTACTAAAGAGCTCGCTCGCGCAGCAGATGTGAGAGCCGGTGCGTAGCATATACCCGCCTTGGCATGAGTAGTCCGACTGACTTGTTGACAGAGAGAATTCCTCGCTATGTGCGGGTAAACACCACATGCTGGTCTACAGAGGAAGCCGTGAAGACGTTCATTTCCCGTGGCTACCAACTCTCGGGTCCTTTCGAAGAGAAGTACGCCGCTGCATGCGCTTCACGTCTCAACATTTCGTAAACTTGCTTTCAGGGGATTCGCAAAGGATGAGCACATCTGCGACCTCCTTCTGTTTCCTCCTGATACACAACTCTCCGACGACTCGCTCTATCGCGAAGGCAAAATAATCCTCCAGGACAAGGCCTCATGTTTTCCTTCCTATATTCTTGCTCCACCTACGCAAGATCGAGCGGTGGTTATCGATGCGACGGCCGCTCCTGGGAACAAGACGTCCCATCTATGTGCTCTGATGAATAACCAGGGGAAGGCGAGTCCTATTCGGTTCTGTGTTTGGCATAGATTAATTCTAACTGGGTGGCTGATCCTTGGAAAATAGCTTTTTGCGTTTGAGCGGGATCGCAAGCGGTTCGGGACCCTGAAGACCATGCTTTCAAGGGCTCGGTGTCAAAATATCGAAGCGGTGAATGCGGACTTCATGACCACTTCTCCTAACGACGGCAGGTTCGCCAGTGTCACACATATGTAAGTGGTAGGCGACATATGGCACTCGGGCGGGAATTAACGTCCGAATCGTACAGCCTGCTAGATCCGTCTTGTAGCGGGTCTGGAATAGTCAATCGCCTCGACTATCTACTCGAATCAGGTCTGCATAGCTATCCGCAGTGGTCTTGTACTCCGCCTTGTACGCTCACAAACCTTATAGAGGCGGAAAACCCCGAGGAAAATGAAGAGCGGCTGCAAAAGCTCGCCTCGTTCCAACTGCTGATGATCAGACATGCTATGAAGTGTACGTCGGGATCGCATCTGGCGGGGGATGATTGATGACACCGCCCTGCGCAGTCCCGTCGGTACAGCGTGTTGTATATTCGACGTGCAGTGTACACGCCGCAGAAAACGAGCATGTGGTCCGAGAAGCCCTGAGGACGCAAGAGTGCAAGGCCGGGAAGTTTCGCCTTGCTCCGCGGAGCATGGTGCTGCCTACTTGGCAGAGGCGAGGTCTCCCCGAAGAAATGGACACGCCCGGTACGTAATCTAATGTGAGAGCCCGGTCTGTTTCGCGTTGACCGGAGGCCCACCAGATGACGCCGAGTCTCTCGTAAGGTGTTTACCAGGTGAAGACGCCACCAACGGGTTCTTCGTCAGTCTCTTCGTGCGCGAGTCGCCAGTTCCCGAAGGTGATCATCAGAACACCGTCACTAAGAGGAAGTTCCAGGACGAGACAGCTCAAAAAGACAATGATCGCCGCCAGGGGGAGCGCCGCAAACGCAAGAAGGGCACGACGAACGGAGAGCACGCCACGTAAGGCGCCGTCTAGTCTGTCTGTCATAACTAAGTACGCCGCACAGGCACAACTAGTGTAGTCCCGGTAGCGTCCCTCGATATTACCTATTACAAAGGAACAGCACTCTCATGCAACATTTGGACGGTATACAACCATGAGAAGATATTTGTTACGGCAAGTAAGAACAAGTCACGATCCGTACCAGAAAATCAACGCAGTTAGCTATCGCGATGAGTAGAGGCCACGTCCCAACGATACCTGCAGCGAATCCAGTTGCTATCACATGCGATAAGAACAAATCTCGGGAGGCGGGAAACGGAGGGAGAGGTGAAGCGTGCTGTGGTCTGGTTATGAGAGCGACGAGAAAGGGTAAGTCGTAATGCGATCTGAATCAATCGGTCGGTTAGGGATAGAAAAACAACGACTGTACGATTAGTGCGCTGGCGTGGGGGCTTGCTGGGAGTACTGGTTTTGATAGTACTGTGCGTAGTTAGATGAGTAGTCCGCTCCTGGCTGTTGCTGGTAATAGCCTTGACCGACGCTCTGACCATACGGCGGAGCGCTATAACCGTTGTAGCCAGAAGCACCGTAGCCAGCCTGGGGCGGGCGGTATCCAGTGTTCTGCGGAGCTGGGATATTCGTCTGCCAGACTTCCGGACGCCGCCAAGGAGGGATGTTGGAGCCGCCGGCGGTGATATCATGGCCGGCCGACCCAGTCCACGGCTTCGCGTCAGCACCGCCAGGGCCTTTTCCAGACTCCCCGAGCTCGGCCATGAGGCTAGCGTACTCTGAATCGAATCCGCCCTTCATCGTGGGTGGCGGAGCGTGGTGGGCGGCGTTAGGATCCCTGTTGACAGTGCAGTCGCGAGCCATGTGCCCAGCGCTACCGCAAACGCGACAGATGATGTTTGCTGTGAAGTTACGCTGTTCCGGGCAGTCATACTTCCGGTGACCGACACCACCGCAGTTCTGACAAATCTGGTTTTCGTCGTCACGAAGAGTACCGTTAAGTGCGGCCAACTCTCGGAGCTGGTTACGTTTGTGGTCGTTCTGACCCTCTGGAGTCGAAGCCGCCTGCAAAAAAAAGGTCAATACCGTGCAAAGTATAAGTATACATCGAAACATACCGTTTCAATGACCCTATTGATCATCCTGACACATGCTGTAACCTTCTCAGGGAAGTCAGCAGTTACCAGACAGTGGAGGTCTTCTTCGGCGTCCTCTGCGTACTGTTCTGGTCTTGCTTTGCCCTCCTTAACGCTGCCCTTTCCTCGAATGCTAATCTTGGCACCACTGTCCCTCTCCATTTTCTTCAGACTGTTGCCACGAGGTCCGACGAGTAGACCGAAGAAGTTAATCTCGGGGAACTCCTTCACGGGGATGTAGACTTTCTCCGAAGGACGTTGTGAACGCTTCTGCTGGTGATACTCGACGGGAGGACGGAAGTTTGGGTCGTTCTTCATAGCGCGGTCAACAAGCTTAATGCGCTCGTCTTCAAGTTTCTTGCGATAGCGGACTTCACGAGTATTAGTACGGCGACCATGAGAATCATAGGTGGGAGGAGGAGAAGGGGATCTAGTACATGTGAGCGAACATCGAAAGAAAGTAATGCAAGGCATACCTCTCTTTTTCTGGGGGTATGAAGTCGTTCATCCGTAGCTTTCTGTTGATCTCCTCCAGCCGGAGATGGATGGCGTAGTTATCCAGGTGAGCTTGGGAGACTCCATTGGCAGAGATAGCAGTCGGCAGTCCTGGAATTTCAGTCTTCGCATCACCCCACCGACTGCGGCGCTTCCGGGGCTGGTTGGGGTCAGCTGTGTAGCAAGTTATGCAAAGATACAAGTTTGTGGTTAGTACGTAGTCAGGTCAGCGAATCAGGGAAGTTGCCCCAGTTAGACTTGGGAGATTAGTCATTGCTAAGACAATCTGCAGCCAAGGAAACGTAGAGACGGCAAAGCCGTCAGTTGATCAGTCAGTTACTTACGAGTAGCAGAGTTGGATGTGGGCGACTCGTCACGAGTCTGGCGGTAATTATCTCGGTCACTTGGGGGAGCTCGAGGATAAGCAGATGGGGATGGTTGAGCTAGTTGAGGAGGCGCATTGTCTTCAACTGGGGCGGGCCCGAAACGACGACGATTACCGAGAGGTGCTGCGTAAAAGCGGTCAGGTTGTGAGACGATACCAAAAAAAGGAATATACGCACTCTCGTTGGTTCCCGTGACCTCGCGTGTAGCCGGCCTCCACATTTTGTATGCAACGAAGAAGGAATGAAAGCAAAAGAGATGAGTGTGGCTGGAGGTGCAGATGGACGTCGGTCAGCAAGTTCGCACAACTCAGCGACGGAGTCTAGAAATTCTTGCTTGACAAGTTCAAACTCCGCCTTACCTGACTAAGCTAAGGCTTATTGGTCGCGCGTAGCGCTTTAGGGTTATACCTTCACTTCCTCCTTGTGTCCTATAACCCTTCCAATCTTTCTCCCACCTTCGACTACCGGAGGGCCGATAATTTAATTGACCTGCTCGGACACCTGCTATTCTCGATAGAATGGCTCCCAAACGTGCCAATGAAGGTCAGTTCGCTGCTGGTTCGGTATCGCGCAGTACTCATGTTTTCACCAGGTGGTGACTACACATTCCCCTTCAAGAAGTCAAGAAAAGACATGGAAAATGAGGATTATGTCGATGTGGACGATAACGATTTCGCTGAGAGCGACACGGACACATCTCTTGTGCCTCGCAGTGCGACCATCAACTTCTCTGCGCTGACTCGAAAGCTTGAGGCATCGAGGAAGGACGGAGATAATGGCGACGATAGCTCTGGTCTACCCACACACCGGCGGCAACAAGACAGTCTCGTCTCGCATATATTTCAGGACCACGACTTCTCTTGGCTACACCTGAAATCCGATCATGCTTCTCGCCCTCTATGGATCAGTCCTGAAGATGGACATATCATCCTGGAGGCGTTTTCGCCCATTGCTGAGCAAGCGCAGGACTTCTTGGTCGCGATTAGCGAGCCTGTCAGTAGGTGCGCAAAGTCTGACCTTTGCGGTAGTTACACGATTAGTCAACCCTGTCAGACCCGCATTCATCCACGAATACAAACTTACGTCGTACTCGCTATACGCCGCGGTGTCAGTTGGCCTCCAGACGGAAGATATTATAGAAGTCCGTGCGCTCTGCACCTCTCTACGCCGCACATGCTGATCTCCGAGCTCACCGTAAGGTTTTGAATCGTCTTTCAAAGGTCAGTGCGGAGTATGGAAATTTTGGGGTATTCGCTGAATAACTGAAGGTCCCTGTACCCGAGAGTATCACCACGTTCATTCGTGAACGCACGTTATCGTATGGCAAGGTCAAGCTCGTTCTGAAACATAACAAGTATTATGTGGAATCCAGCCACCCAGAGACCCTGCAAATTCTTCTCAAGGACAGGGTCATACGGGAAGCCCGGGTACACTCTGCGCCTGTCGACAACAGCATCAAGGCCTCAACCTTTACCACGGCCAAAGCACCAGTCAAAGGTAATCTCGTCATATCTGGCACTAAAGAGGCCGAGAAGAAGAAGGACGAATCGGCCTCTGGCAAGGGTACGAATGGCGCGCCTACGAGCGACAAGGAGCTATTTACTTCTGTTGTCGGGGTGGAGTCAGGTACGAGTGTTTGTGAGTCATGTCGCGTGATGGTCCGCTCACTGCCGCACTAGACGAAATTGAGGAAGACGACGACACCGTTCATTCCTTTGAGATAGATGACACGAAGATTGATGTCGGGCTATTCCCTTTACGCTCTTAAGCTTTCAAATACTGAACGTTTTGCCACAGGATGTCAAAAGGCGCTGCAACGAACTCGAGTATCCGATGCTCGAGGAGTACGACTTCCGGAACGATACCGTGAACGCCAATCTGGACATCGACTTGAAACCATCTACGGTTATTCGACCATACCAGGAGACCAGTTTGAGCAAGATGTTCGGCAATGGGTGAGTGCATTATTGCGTTGTGATCTTCTGCCTCATTACCAGCTGACTGCTGCAGCCGCGCGCGTTCCGGAATCATTGTTCTACCTTGTGGTGCGGGCAAGACCCTTGTGGGCATAACGGCGGCATGTACAATCAAAAAATCTTGCCTTGTGCTCTGCACCTCTTCGTGGGTTCTCTCGCATCTTTTATATCATTCTTGACTTTTACGTGACCATTCAGGGTCTCTGTGATGCAATGGCGACAGCAGTTCATGCAGTGGTCCAACATTACAGATCGTCAAATCGCCGTCTTCACTGCAGATCAGAAAGAGAAGGTACGATGCCTGAAATTTTGAACACGTAAACGAGCCCACGCTTAATTTCCGGGTTAGTTTGCAGGCGAGAGTGGCATAGTCGTGTCGACATATTCAATGGTCGCCAATACGCACAATCGTTCCCACGAGTCCAAGAAGATGATGGACTTCCTAACATCGCGCGAGTGGGGCTTCATCTTGCTTGACGAGGTGCACGTTGTCCCGGCGGCCATGTTTCGTCGAGTCGTGACCACCATCAAGGCACATTCGAAGCTCGGTCTCACAGGCAAGCCATCATTGACCCTGCATACGGGCCGCACTGACGACGGTCTCCAGCCACCCTTGTTCGCGAGGATGATAAGATCGCGGATTTGAACTATATGATCGGTCCAAAGCTTTATGAAGCCAACTGGATGGATCTCGCCGCAAAGGGCCACATCGCAAACGTGCAGGTAAGCTTATATGGTGAATTGACAAATCGCGTTAGGCCCTTAAATGGGCTTTTATCTGTTAGTGTGCCGAGGTGTGGTGTCCCATGACGCCGGAGTTCTACCGCGAGTATCTGCGCGAGCAGTCGAGGAAGCGCATGCTGTTGTACTGCATGAACCCCAAGAAGTTCCAGGCCTGTCAGTTCCTAATCAAGTACCACGAAGACCGCGGGGACAAGATTATCGTGTTCTCAGACAATGTCTACGCCTTGGAGGTTTGTCCACTTGTCCACTTTCCGCTCCGGCGTCACTTACCCATATACGTCAGGCTTACGCAAAAAAGCTTGGGAAACTCTATATCCACGGGGGGACAGGTCAAGTTGAGCGGATGAGAATTTTGCAGCATTTCCAGCACAGCCCGGAGGTCAACACCATCTTCCTGTCAAAGGTACGTCGGCCGCCACACACAGCTTGAACGCCGGGTGTCCTCGCACTGATGCGGTACTCCATCGCCCTGTCAACAGGTGGGCGACACTTCGATTGACCTCCCCGAAGCGACCTGCCTTATTCAGATCTCGTCCCACTTCGGTTCGCGGCGGCAAGAGGCACAGCGGCTCGGTGAGCCACTGCGAGCCTATCCTGCTCCAAGTGACTGTGCTGACGCGCCGGTGGTGCTGATGTGCAGGGCGTATCCTCCGAGCCAAGCGGAGGAATGATGAAGGTTTTAACGCCTTCTTCTACTCGCTGGTGTCGAAGGACACGCAAGAGATGTTCTACAGTACGAAGCGGCAGCAGTTCCTGATCGACCAGGGGTATGCGTTCAAGGTCATCACGCATTTGGACGGCATGGAAGACATGTCAGACCTGGTGTACAAGACACGGGATGAGCAGATCGAGCTGCTGTCGTCGGTGCTCATGGCCAACGAGAGTGAAGCGGACCTGGGCACCGACGTTCGCGCGAATGAGGGCGACCTGGCGGGCACGATCACGTCCAAGGACTTTGGCATGCCGGGCAAGTTCCCGGCGGTCCAGCGCACGACAGGGTCCCTTGCGGCGCTGAGCGGCGGACAGCACATGTCATACGTGGAGCAGAACAAGTCGGCGAATAAGAAGCTTGCTCGAGAAGCTGCTCCGCGGCATAAACTGTTCGCGAAACGGGATAAGGACAAGGCTGCTGCGCGGAAGGAGGCTCGTGCGCAGGTGTAAGGGGCAGGAGTGATTACGGTGTATTGGCTAGTGTACTGTACTGTAGAATAAACTTTTTACACGATTTATGACTTCAAGTCCCCTGTGCGAGTCAGGGAACGAGAGGAGCCCGGGGGGAGGAGAGGAGGGACCGAGCCCCGGGGCACCTGTGCCTGGAGGTACCGGGGTTCGTTCGCGGCAGGACCTCGGCCTGTGTGGCGGACTGGGCGGGAGACGCTGGCGAGGGTGTGGTAACACGGGTTCGTCTAAATGACGTCCAAGGGGGCGTCCGTCTGCAGAGTTCTCAGTCTCTGTTTCAGGGCGTGTGTGCGTCTGTGTGTGTGTGCGCGCCACACTGTGAGGGTCGACGGGGGAATCACATGGAGAATGGGAGGAGTTTGGCAGCAAGTCGTCCGATACACCGTTCGCCGAGAGGCGCAGGCCTGCGCGGCGACATGACCGACGCAGCTGATCGCCAGAAGCCGGTGCAACGATGACTACGCGGAGAACGGAGACACCCGTGGAGGACCAGCCCGGAGGGAGAAAAGGGGGTTGAAACGCGCGCCGCTTCCGATCCCACGCAGGCGGAAGATGCATAAGGGCAGTGAGAAAAAATTCAAAGGAGATCCGAGGACGTCGAGACCAGGAGCAGCTGGTTACCGGACTGCTGCTGCTGTGGTGGTGGAGGCAGCTGCGGGGGCTTCGAGGACGTGAGAAAGGCCTGCAATGTCGGAGTATGCACAAAGAACTCGGGATGATTCTGTGTCTGAAGCTGGATGCGGTGTGGCAAGTAAGCGCATCTGACGGAAGGGTTCTGCCGGGTCACGCCTGCCCAAACCGCTCGACCAGAATCTGGGCAGGAGAGCAAGGCCCAAGTGGTTTCCCGATCGACGCCAGCAAGCCCCCGCGAACAAAGATTCACGCTCTGCCGATACAGCTCGGCGGTATGTCTATATCTGACCCCGTCCACATTCGCTGCCCGCCCTTTCTTCTTGCCACCACGTCCTTCTAGCCATATCCCTATACACCTTGCCCTCCCGCACACCGTCCACTCCTGCTCCCGCCCCACCCATGTCGTCCAAGCGTGGAAGAAAGAGAAATGACAACCTCCCGCCGAATCGTGCGAGGGATGTACAGAGAGCATTCAGGGCACGTCGTGCAGCTCATTTGGAGGCAAGTGCTACTCCGCGCATCTCGCAACAAGCTGCGGCGCTCATCTGCTCCCTTCCTCCTGTTGTGTGTAGGCCTTGGAGAACCGAGTAACAGAACTCGAAGAAGAGAACAATATGTTGCGCGCTGCGCTCAGCCTGCCTCCCGCAAATCGTCCCCCGCTAGGCAAAGGTCCTACTGGAAAGGACAAGCCAAGACCTTACACGCCGCGCTCACAGCCGCCCACTATCGTCACTGCCGATTCGGTCGCTTCCACCTCTGCCCTGAGCACGAACGGACTTCCACCGCTTTCTGCCCTCCCCGCGAGTCGCACCGAGTCCCCCGAGTCCACGTCGACGCGGACACATTCCATGTCCCCATCTTCGCTTGGAGCTTCGCTGAACGCAGCGGCACCGCCGCCCCCGCCTGTCGTATCCGTCGACTCGACTTCGTGGGATGATGGGCTTTTTGGGACGAGTAGGGGGGAGCGCCCCGAGATGGGCCAGCCCTCGCCGGTGACGACGAGTTACCCCGCTACCCCTCTATCCGCCACCGGTTCACAGTCGTACCAATTCCCCAACAACGCTACACGAATACAACCTCTGCACCAACAGTATTCGATGCAGCCCAGTGCCCAAAATTTCTCCCATACACAGGACCGACCTCTAGCGGATGCGTTCACCGAAGCTAATTCCCTATACGACCGGCGGTTTCCATATTCCTTCCAACCTACTTCAGATAACTCCCTCCACGCACAATCTCCGACACAGTCAGTCTCCATGACCCCGCAGCGCGGGACTCCCTCCCAACAGCAGGTACAGCCGCCGGTAAACTACGCCCACAAACGATCAATCACCGAACCTAACGCGTTACGTTCGCTCCTGCTCAATCAAGTTCCCCCGTCATTGTCACATCTGCAGCAGCAGCATAATTCACAGCAAGCGCGGGGCCCTTCACCCACCAGCCTGTCGGACGGGATCCCGATGCTACGCGCTGCGGACTTTGACATGGACCTTAGAGGAGGCAGGATGCCCTCTCTGCCTTCGTAATCTCTCTTATCCTTTGCTCCGTATAATAGTTTTCACGGACTTGCTCTCGTTCCGTCGTACACGAACAACCCTGTATCGTTACTACCAAGTTGATAAAGCTTTCGAGTCCACGTTGCAATCATCAATATCTGCATCAGCATCTATCTTACACACCTGTACCAATCACATAGCATCTGACTTATTGTTCGAATATTTGGGTATTGATATGCTAGCTACTGTTTCGTTCAGCTGTAACCCTGTGTTTGGCACGTACCAACCACAATCCTGCTGATCCCTTCCCGGAGTTCGTGCGGTCGAAGTGCGTGCACCTAAACCCAAAAAGTACCGCGGCATGTGCAGGTTCTTCGACCCACGAGAAGCACGAGAGTCAATCACGTTCCCACCGACCAGGGCGCTGCGGGGCGCGTACGGCGGCTCAGGCACGCAACGCGTGTGCACACGACAGAAGGAACCCCGTCTACGGAACTTGCCATGGGGCCCATAGTAACGGCCGACTGTTGTGGCTGCTGTAAGTGCGCGAGCAGTGCTCTCTGTCTTTCCATCGCCGAGGCCCCGACAGGCATCTATGTACAATTAATGTAAAATTTAGGGGCCATCCGCCGCTCCTTGATACGCGCGCGCCGCCGAAGGAGTCTCGTAACCACTGCGTGCACGGTGTCCCCCCATCCAAGAAGAGAAATAAGCTGAACGTGTTCGGCCGCCGCGTGCAGAGGCCCTGCCCAGACCCGCGGGTGTCTGAGAGAGGACAGCGGGCAGGGCTCCAAGCCCGAGACATCGTTAACGCATGGGCACAAACGCATCGTCGCCCCCGGGCGGGAAGCAGCATAAATATGGGTCAGCAGTGACTGAGCGCCGCGGCCGTAGATACGGGGCGCACGCTGGGCCTATAGTACACCGGCCGCAATGGCAGTCCGGAACTGGCAGTTTGAACGCCGCCGTCCAAAAGAGGAGGGTACAGGATCAGATACCAATTTATCACCGTAGTCAGCGAAGAGGTACCCACGGAAGCCTCATGTCTCGAGCCTTGGCCCGCGCAATCAGATTGCTAGAGGGTGCACCAGTCAACGCAGCCGTCGGACCCGTATTTCTCTTCGAGCCATTCATTGGCCTTCTTGAAGTGTCCGTTCCCGATGAAGCCCTTGTATGCGCTGAACGGCGAAGGGTGCTGAAGGTACCCGGTCCACACGGCGGAAAAAAGATGACAATGAGTTAGTTCTTTCTATTGGTGCCGTAACCACGCAAGAGTTACGAAGATCAAGACTTACGGCACTTGTGAGGATAAGGTGCTTATGCTGCAGGCAGTACGTCGAGGGTTGTCATTTGAGCCGCGAGTTGCCGTCAATAAACGAGGGAGAGCCGTTTACAAACGGAACGAACCTTGTCTAGCTTTGTTACTCGCTTCTGAGCCCACGCTCCCCAAGCCATGAAGACGCAACCACGACCGCGGCCTGCGAGGGTTGAGCCGTTGCCCGCGAGGTTTGCGCCACCATACTTGTCGACGACGTCGACAACTTTGTCTGTAAACTCTTCCCACCCTTTCCCGGAGTGAGACCCGGCGGTAGCTGGTTTCACGGTCAGCGCCGTATTGAGCAGGAGTACCCCGTTTTGCGCCCACGCAGCCAGGTTCCTAATACGCATCTCAGCGGTTAGTAAAGTCAGATAAGGGTCCGTCAGGGTCGCCACCCATGATGCAAGCGCAGCTGTATGGCTTACCCGTGTTTGGGCGGGTTGAATTCTGGGTACTCGTTCTTGATCTCAGTGTAGATCTGCCAACCGTCAGGCATATTAAACCTCCATTGACGTGCCGAATAGTTGGCTTACGTTGCGCAACGACGGCGGCACAGCGACGCCATGAGGCACGGAGAAGGACAGGCCTGCAGGACACGGAGTAGTCAGAATATATGAGCCGAAGAGTATCACCGAGCTGACCGTGAGCTTGATTAGGACCATGGTACGGGTCCTGCCCTATAATGACCACTTTGACACGGCCCAGTGGGGTCAGGTTAGACCAGGAGTAGATATTTCGGGCTACAACGTCATGAGAGCGGTTCGAACTGCGGCGTTTCAACTTTATGCGTACGGATGGGATACACCTTGGCATCGCTCGAGTCGTCAGGCCCATGAACGCCTTGTTCCCACAGGAACTGTTTGAGCTTGAGGAAGTAAGGTTTCCGAATCTCTTCCTTGAGCACTTTGAGCCTAGATAACAAGCACGTCAACCGTACACAACGGGCAATTTAGTCACATAGTGATGGCCACTCACCAGCTTTTGCCCATGCTTTCAACTTCGAGCGCGAGGAGACGCTTCTCATCCTCGGACAGGGACGCAACGAGTTCCGATGGTGAGAACGGAATAGAGTTCAGCGTACGTGAAGCAACGCTCGTCGTTGCTTTGGAACTGCCCGTCACCGATGACGACGACTGGGATTTATCCAGTTTGATTTTCTTCGCACTGGGCTGCGTGCCACCTGTGCTTGGACCTGAGGAAAACATATCCATGAGAGTCCTCTGTCTCTTTGCCCCGACCTTCGTGGCTTCTTTTTTGTCAGACGCGTCCGTGGTCTTAGCGACTGTGGCAGTTGCAACTGCGGACGTCTTTTTTTCCTTGCCACCGTCCGTTATCCTCTCCGTGTTGGTTGCCTCGAGGTCCTCGAGGTACACGACGCGTCCGGAATCCGACATGGTGCTGAAATGCGCGTGGTATGCGGGGCGACGGCGAGAATAAGAGAGAGAGGACGTTGATGTGGACGTGGAGCCAAATGAGCGGTTGAAATACGCGCGCCACGCGACCGCGTCGAACGCGGTCCATGCCTTTCTGGGAGATAGCCGAGAGAAATTCGCACGGCCGGGGTTAAAAGCGCTCTGGAACAAGGTCGGTTTGGGGAGGCATCCTGGCATATGGGGAGGGCGGGAGAGAAACACCGAGAGCCAATATTCTGGTCTGCTCTCGCTCTTGGGCGGGTTAGAAACAGGAACAGCCTTGCGGGCGCCCACTGACATCCGCCGCATTACCACTCGTCCGTGGGCGCCTGATGTGCTGGCCGGCAAGCGTGGCGTTTGCTTTGCTTTCGCCGTCTTCGGTCTCCTCAGTCTACACCCTTTCGTGCCTCTACGCTACGCACCTCGTTCTGCTTGCTTGCTAGCTCCCGCGAAGCTGTGTGCAGACTGGGGACTCTCAGGTCCTAAATCCTCGGCAGTGCATCCATCGCAAGCGCTGACGTCTGCGTCGGATTACTGTAGCTAGGATCGGTCACGCACACAACTTCTTCATTCAAGACATCCGTTCGACGCCGCCAAACTGCCGCGCGCACGCTCCTCTCCTTCGCCTCCCGCGGCCAGAAATGCCACAGGACGTACGGACTCTTTGCGGCGACCGGCGCCTCGGCGTAGGCCAGGTTCTAGTTCTCTAGCTCAGAGACCTGCGGTAGTCCGACAGCAAGGATGGAGTACTAGCTATCATGCAGGCTCGTCAGGGTGCGCATGCAAAGTACTTATGCGCTAGCTTGTTTAATTCATCTCGCCTTTGCGCTAGATCAGATTCAGATACCATGACCGAAAGCGACGACACCGACGCAGAGACCAAGCATGCCAGAGGAAGAACGGAGGCTCAACGTGCACTAGGCTATGGAGGCAAGCGACGTGCAAGAACAAACACAGAGAACAACGCGTCCTCTGTCCCTGGTAGACCCCCGCACAAACAACACAGAGACTCCTCCGCCTCGCGCTCCGGCGGCTCAAGGCGAAGCAGTCCCGTCAGGATGTCAGAGAGGGCCCCCTTCACACGCTCTCGATCCCCCGCAGTCCACCTCATAGGCAATGATTTCGTCAGGCCTGGCTCACCTGCCCTCGTTGCTCGACAAAAGGCATCGGTCTCAACACGTGTACTACTCCCGGGGACGATCAACATTACCTTCCCCATATTATTTGCGAAGGTACGGTGGATGGTCTCGATCGACGTCAGGCAAGCTGCAGAGAATCTGCTCTTGCTATGCTCCCTCGGGTACTGTGCCGACAAAATTAGAGCTCTGGCCCAAGATGTCCTCTCGCCAGACATGTGGTTATCCATAGGTATGGCAGTGGCTTGTATTCTACGACTGTTATTCACGTATCAAATATCTAGAATTGTCGCTCCTGATTATTGCCTCTACCATTTACTACTCTATCACCCGCCTAGCATGGTCAAAGGTGATACCAGCCGCTCCCTCGCCGCCGCAAACTTCTGGCGCCACACCTCTACGGCCGGCATCACCACGCAGTACGGAGCAGAGACGCGGTGCGCCAGTCATAACCGCCAGCTTGAACAGGAAAGAAGAAAGAGGATACCTCTGGATGACTGTCCCGAAAAACTACAGGTAGTGTCTCAATGATACCTTCATCCGGTAGAGTCGGTCGTGACAGACGTTCTGTAGGGACTCTGCGGACGATGGGATACTCACAGGACTTCTCGGTGGACCATTTATCGCCGCTGCGATGCTATACCTGAGCATGCGGACGGTTATGGACCCTGCGTCCAATCGCTTACCCCACGAGTGGCTAATAGAAGCCCCCGCAGTGCTTCCTGACAAGCTGCCATTCGTTGATGCCGCCCACGCCCTTCTGATATCTCGCCGAAATCTAGTTAGCTTATCGACCTTTTGCTCTACAATCCTGATTGTGCACGTCTCTGCGTCAAGAGTGACCGAGGCCCGCCATAGACGCAAGGTCCAAGTACCCGCTGGCGAGCTTAACCATGTACCCCGGAAGGAGAGTCGCCGGACCTACCTGTATGTACTGTTTACGGTATCAGTCACCTTGTGGATTCTATGTGTCAAGATTATACTCGCCGAGTTCGCAAAGCTTGGCATCTGGCAAAGTGAGTCTTCCGGTTGTTATGCGGGGAACGGGAATGCTTAATCACACGTCCAGACCTGAGCAACGCGGAAATTGTTGCGGCGTCAATGTTCTATCAGTTCACTTTATACAGCGCCGTGCGTCTCGCCCACCATGGCTTCACGTTAGGTGAGCTAGGGTTGGTTTCATTCGGAGCAACAGTCCTATTCATGGAAATGATGAACCTGACCACTTCTCGGGTGCGTCGGCGGAGGTAACTGGGACACGCAAGGCTGCTGACGGTGGAGTGTTTAGATTTGGCCCTCGATAACCCCCTTCATCAAGACGTACCGGTTGCCGACACCGCTGCTCACATACCAGCTCGCACTCATACCCGGATCGCTCCTTACCGGCTTCCTACTCTCCCCGCTCCTCTACCTGTCGCGGCATATTGCCCGGCGCCCCGTCCGACGGCTGCGCTTCCCTGAAGAGAAGCAGAAACACAGGCGCCTCCTCGCGCTGAGCTTCTATGCTGGCTCCGTCCTCATAGTTGGGGGTCTCATTGGTATGTGGGCCCGCTGGTGCCTCGGCAATCGCGACCCCTGGATCTGGGTCGTCTTCTGGCTGCTCGAGGGCAGGCGCAAATGGACACGACCCGCGCTCCTCGCTTACTGGGCCGCCCTCGGAAGCTTGAGTGTCGCAGGGTGGAATCGCCAGCTTGCCAGGAATAGGCGGTACCGACACCGCCCGATGAACAACGCGGCCGCAGAGCCGGGCGCCGTTGTGCCTACCAGCTTTGACAACAGTCGACTTCATAGCGGCGGGCAGGCGGCAGCGCTGAGCGACCCCAGTGTGGTACCTTCCTCAAGCTCCGAAATCGGGTCTTTAGGACTCAGCTTCTCAAACTTGCCCAATTTATCCAACCTGCCCAACCTGTCCAATCTGCCACAGCTCGCCAATGGCGCAAATGTAGCGACGGACCTCCTTGACGCGGCGGACAAGCATGTGCCAACGCTGACGCTGAACGCCCGCAGAAAGTTCTTCCACGGCCTGGCGGTGTTGATGTTTGTGCCTGGCGTTGCGTTCGACGTGAGCACTTTCATCCGCCATTGCTTGCTCTGGCAACGCTGACACCCCCCGGTAGCCTGCTTTCGCTCATCTATCCTTCAGCGCTGCCTTTGCACTTTTTACCTTTGCGGAGTATGTTCGCTACTTCGCACTGTACCCCTTCGGAGCTGCGGTCCACGTGTTCATGAACGAGTTCCTCGACGTAAAGGATGGTGGCACGGCGATCCTGAGTCACTTTTACCTTCTTACTGGCTGCGCCAACTCGGTGTGGTTCGAGGGCCCGTCGAGACTGTTGCAGTTCACGGGGATCCTCACACTCGGGGTCGGAGACGCCTTGGTACGTTTCTTCGCTCGCTTGCTGGAGGATGACCCCCGTTCAAGGATTGGTTGCAGGCGTCGATTGTCGGGAAGCGTCTGGGCCGTCATCGGTGGTCGGCCGGCACTCCGAAGACGATAGAGGGCAGCGCGGCGTTCGCGATGTCTGTCGTGGCCTGCGCTTGGCTGTTGCGGATCTGCGGGTTTACTGAGGACTTCTCGGTGCGTGTATCAAACCCAATCTTGACAGGCCGCTGTACCGAGCCGATTGGTCCCTAGATCGTGCGATACGGGGCAGTCGCTGCACTGGCCTCTGTTCTAGAGGCGTTCTCGGTCCAAAACGACAACCTGACCTTGCCCCTGTACATGTGGAGCATGCTGGCGTTCGCGACCGTGTAGGAGTGTAGGGACCTGGTCTTGATGTCGCGAGAAATCGACTGCAATCGATGATTCGCGGGACTAGCAGCGGGCAGGATAGCACTGGAAGACTGGCGGCAGCTGGCAGCGATTCCTCATAGTGTGCAACATTTCCTTTCTTGGGCGAGGGTGCCTTGAGATTTGTCAGCCGCGGGGCTTAAAATCGAGGCGGAGCCAGAGAAATGACCTCATTGGCTGGGGGTAGTTTAGACGCCCAATTCTCCTTCGTACGCTTGGCGGAGTGCGCCAGCTGTGGACACTGGAGGAGCAGGCTGCATAGAGCGACCTGCAAACCTGCTTGCGACGTTCACGATACCAGTCACGAATTGGTTGATGTCCATCTCACACCTGCGGTTCCCCACGTTGTCGTCGATCTTCCCTGCTCGACTGTAGCCACGCTTTAATCTCGCTCTGAATCTTGCTTGGAAACTTGTCCGTCCGTCCCATCTGCGCCCGCTCGCATTTTGATGGATTTTGCGACCAGCAAGAGCACCGACCAAGTGCCAACCATCGACCATCGCTCATCTAGCTTGTTTCGTTCACGATCTAACGGAGCACCGCAGCCCTCTGCCTCTGTGCCATCTCTCAAAGACGTCTCTTTCCTTGCCGCTGCTGCGCCGCACATCACCCTCTCGCCCGCTCCTCGACTTCCTCTGCCTCCTAGGTCACAGAGGAACCAATCGAGGAGACCGTCTACGGCATCTTCAGTCGAGGAGAAGTTCATGCTTCTGCCGTCTTCAGACCTGGCTACTCCAGGCTCGACCACCAGCTCAGGTTCAAATGACGGGGAAAGGATGAGGTTAGAATCAGAGTCCCCCCTCTCTGAAACCTCCATCCAGGAGATGAATCGGCGTGCGCACGCAGCCATGGCAGGGCTGCGCGCAGAGGCATCTAAGCTCGCGGGTTCCGGTGAGCGCTCTAATTCTACCACGAGTGCTTCATGCTTACAGACACGCAGTCGGCATGCTGCCGTCCCCTTTCGATCCTTCGCCTACAGACGAGCAGCTCGCGCGTAATCTTCGCTTGCAACATGACGACACTCAGGTAGACTATGACTGGGCGACCTTCATCGGCGCGTACGCGCTTGGTAGGTGGAATCCCCTCAAGACCCCTCATCCTCCTCGATCGCAACTCCAGCCCCCTACGCTGGGCTCCACCTCGCGTACCCCCTCGAGGACGGCAGAAGGGCTAGACATATGCGACTCACCAGACCCGAACTCGCCAGCTTACTCTTGGGAACCACATGACTTTGAAGCGCATTCCCTCAGAGAATCGTCCAAGCAGGTAGAGCACAATCCCTTGACCAGCTCTGCTCCGCCGCAATATCAACTACCTGCTCATTTTGCTTCGGGATCTGCGATGGCTTCTCCTGTCCCGAGATTACCGGACGCCGGAATAGCGAGCCGAAGAGCAACTATGCCGCTGAATTTGGGCCTTTCGCACCGACTACGAAACTCGTTCGCCGACATTCGCTCTCCTGGCTACAGTTCTTCCCCGGAGTCGAAACCACTGGCACCCAACACTGATGTCACCACGTCTGCTGCTGCGATTCGCTTAGCCGCAGCTCGTGTCTCTGTCGCGCCTTTAGCCCTGCCTTCTCCGGAGCATGAACTTACAGACCCGTTTCGAGGTGCCACGGCGACTATACCAGGTTCTCATCCGTCTGACCTCGGAGGGTCGCATCCGGATCCTCCATTGAAGTCTCCGAATCTCGCGCGGAAATCGAGGCTCAGGAGCTTTTGGCAGGGCACGCAGGATGTGGAGGAATCGCGACTTCCCACAATAGAAGCAAGCCCACCCGAATCGACTGAGGACCACTCATCACAGTCTTCTTCACAGCGAAATGATTACTCTCGAGAGTCGTCGATATCATTCTCCTTCGTCAACTCTGTCGTCCCCCCAGCTACGGCGCCTGTGCGGTACAACGACGACAAGGAGGATGGAGACTACTTCGGGTCCATCGAGAGCCAGAAAGTGCTGGAAAGCGTGTCCTCTGACAGCGACAAGAACAGTAATGGTACGCATACAACGACTGGCACGCGTTCCGATCGCGACTTGTCCCGACATTCATCGGCTCCGCTATTGGACTATGAGCCAACGACCGTACCCGCCCTGCCACGACGAATCTGCCTCACGAGACAGACCTCTGCCCCTCCCCCCACACTCGCCATGTACGAAAGGCGTGTGCGGACCTCGCGCCCTGCCTCCGAAAGTTTGACGTTAACCCATGCCAGCCGCTCTGCGAAGGAAGAACAAATGTTCTCTGAGCTGGGATACTTGGCCCCGCCTAATCCTCCGGACGAACTCGAACGAAGACGGGCGCTGTACAAGTAAGTGAAGGCTGCCTAAAGTGTGGTTAGCAGGGTAAAACGTAACTTCTCGACAGGTTTAACATCTGGAACACCGGGCATGACATGAATTTCGACCGGATCGCACACCTCGTCAAGTTGGTATTTAGCACCCGAATCGTTGCGATTTCGCTCGTCGATGGCACTGAGGAGTAAGTCTTGTCCCTCTGTAGTATCTTCGTACGACTCTAAAGCTGTCCACAGGTTCTTCAAATCAGAATGTATGTTTCCATCATGAGGTTCATGGTGAACGCTGCTGAGGTTGTTTGGTTCAAGCCGGACTTGGCGTGCACAACATGCCCAGGACATCATCATTCAATGCGCATGCAGTTTTGCAACGGTCTGTGCTGTTCCTTTCACGTTCCAGCTCTCCCTCTCAAGCACGGTCTTTATAACAGCGATGATGAACCGACAATTGTGTTGGATGCGCAAGACGACTGGCGGTTTGCTGGCAATGTACGTATGAAATACGAGATGACTCCTTCCTGCCAACAATTTGACCTCCCATCAGCCTCTTGTCGTTGGACACCCACATATTCGATTCTATGCCGGCTGTCCTCTACGGACGCAGGATGGCTACAACATCGGAGTGTGAGTAAAAGATGGGCGTTATATAGAATGGCTGCTAATGCGCCATTCCAGGTTATCCATTATCGACGATACTCCTCGCAGAGAGTTCAGCCCCCGGCAACGACATACACTCAAAGAGTTTGCCGTGAGTACCGGACATACAGACCGGCTCCGATACTCATCTAGTGATATAGCAAATCGCGATGCGAGAACTCGAATTATGGCGTGACAAGGTCCGTTCGCTTCTTTGAATCTGGCCGGGAAGGCGAGCTAATAGTGATCTGCAGATCCAGCTACGCATTCGAGATCGAATTCAAAATTCGGTATGTCAACGCATTTTGCAAAATCAACTGTATCGCTGATGGCCGCCTGCCTCTAGATGGAGGAGTTCACGAGGGAGTGTCTTGAAGTGGATAAGGATGTCAGCGGCGAACGTTCCGAAGGCCGAAGTCTATTCGTAGGAACGTCCATGGAGCAGGTGTACGAGCGTGCCGCCCGGCTGGTGAAACGGACGCTTGATGTTGAAGGCGCGATCGTCATGGACGTTTCCCACGTCGATGTGCTAGAGACTGTCAACGCTGAGAGTACGACGTCGATTAGCATTCACAGCGATGATCTACAATCCGGGACCACCAACCGTGTCCTGATCGCTGACGAGTACGCCAAGCTCCAGGATTTCTTCGCGAAGGCTCCAGATGGCAAGATCTGCGAAGGTATCCTACCCTCGGGACTGCGTCCATTCTTGCCGCCAAGGATACAGTATGCGTTAGGTATGCTCCACTCTTTGGCTCATGCCTAGTCTGGTTAGATTTATGTGCTCCTAGCGGTCCCGATATTCAACATTGACAAGCGACCGTTCGCAATACTATGCGCGTACAGCACTGGCGAAAGGACAACCCCTTTTGTAAGTACGGCGCTCCTTTGTCACGCCATGTATCACTCATGGAAATCAGCTGGAAGGCCACGAGCTATCGTATCTCAGGGCAATAGGCGTCATCATCCTGTCTGCTGTCCTCAAGCGGCGCATGATTATAGCGGACAAGGCCAAGAGCTTATTCATATCCAAGTATGGGTTTTATTGGCATATAAGCGACTTATCTTTCTTATTGTTGTACCCAGCATCTCGCACGAGCTTAGGACGCCGTTGCACGGAGTATGTCCGATATTCTTGAACTTTACGTATGGCTAGCTCATGTCTGCTTGGCAGATCCTCGCATCCGCGGAGTTACTGTCAGAGACGTCGCTTGATCACAGCCAAGCGTCCTTCTTGCAGACAGTACAGGCATGCGGCACGTCATTAGTGGAGACGGTCAATCATGTTTTAGACTTCACTAAGTTGAGTGGTAATGCAAGATCCGGCGGTGTGGAGAATGTCATTCAACGGAGCAAGTGAGTTGTTCGCACCTTTGTATCTCCACGTTCTTGCTAACGCCATCTAGGGTCGACTTGATGCAATTGGTCGAGGAGGCCATCGAAGGATGCTGGATTGGACACCGTGCACGAATGTTTACCTCGGAGATAGGCAGCGTTTACTCCCCGCCGAAGCAAGACCGATCTTCCGCTACGAAGTGGGTAGAAACCGTCATCGACATTGACCACAGCGATACTGTAAGCCATAGCTACCACTCCGTATGTCTTGTCATACTTACAGCCCCCTAGGGCTGGTTATTCAAGTGCGAAAAGGGTGGCATCCGGCGTGTGTTGATGAACCTGTTCGGCAACAGCCTGAAGTTCACTACAGTAAGTACCGTCGGTGGGAGCGGCTGTAATGCCTCACATTCTGACTTTCACAGGATGGGTACGTTCACGTTATGCTTCGCCAACCACCGCCTGCACCTGGTCAACCGGAGAACGTAGTGAAGATAGAGCTGTCAGTGAGCGACACAGGCAAGGTATGTCATGCTGTTTTGGCGTTAGAGTGAGCCTGCTAATCTTATTTCAGGGTATCAGCCAGAGTTTCTTGAAGGTGGGTATCCGCGCATCTTGTTTCTGCGCATATACTGAACTCTTCCTGTAGAACCAGCTTTTCCATCCATTCTCGCAAGAGAACCCCTTGCAGACTGGAACAGGTCTAGGCTTGGCCATCGTCAACAGTATAGTGCGATCGAAAAGCGTCGATGGCAAGGTCGACGTCTGGAGCGCTGAAGGCGTCGGAACTGAGATCAAGGTTACCTTCACGGCGGAAGCGGTCGACGACATCGAGGCTCACCATGGTGATGTTGAGTTGCGGAAGGTATATGACGCTCTGAAACAGCCTTCCATCTCGCTCGCCGGCTTCGACGACCCAAATCGCGGGACCCAGCTGCTGAAGAACGTGCTTGCAACATACCTTGTCACGCGTTGGGGCCTCGTTCTCGCTGACGACTCTGAGAGCGGGGACATCGTGGTTGTCAACGAGGACTACGCGCACGTTACTCGAGTCGTGGAAGAGAAGAAGTCTAAGAAACCTTTCATGATCATCTCCTCAAACCGCGGCGACCCGAAACTCATGAGCGTGGTCAGCGAGTACGAGAGGCTCGGCGGGTTCTGTCGCGTAGTGTACAAGCCGGCAGGGCCATGTCGCATGGCCGCGGCTCTCAAGCTATGTCTCCATGCACTAAATATCACCAAGGCCTCCGCCAGCACGTCGCGCGAAGACCTCGCGGCATATAACATCCAGGAATCTCCGTCGGATCCTGGAGACGGTTCAAGCTTCTCCTTTATGCTCCCCCGACGGTACTCGGAGGAGTCGGGCCAGAACAAGAAACTTACACCGCAGAACTCTCGCCCAACATTAGGTCCACGAGCTGTTACTGTCCACCCTCTGTCGACTTGGCCACACTTAAGCTCCACAATAGAACAGGACGAGCCGCAGGAGCCGGATAATCACCGTCCTATCTCACCGGTCTTTACGCAAAGTCCATCGAGTCCGACTATCGCCATTGGAACGGGTGGAACGCTTCTCAAGTCCTCGGCGGGCACCCTGCAACAGCAAGGAGGCCCCATTCGCGTGCTTGTCGTTGAAGACAACTCTATTTTACGTGGGCTTTTGTAAGTGCTGTCAGGACATGAGCGATGTGTAAATGACTAACGCTGTCCTCCCCAGGGTGAAATGGTTGCGCAGCAAGGTGAGTATCAGGTCCCGCGCCCTGATCGCCTAATACTGACATAGACCTTAGGGTTACGAATACCGTGAGGCCACTGATGGTCTAGAAGGTGTTCAAGCCTTTGAAGGAGACGGGCACTTTGAGTAAGTAGTGTAAGACTCGTAAGTACGACCGACCCTGACCCTGTTTTCACCTAGCGTTGTCCTCGTCGACTTGTCCATGCCTGTACTAGATGGCAAGTCTCTCGATCTTTCATTTTGGATATCTCTGACCTTCGGATAGGTGTTGGTGCCACGGTCAAAATGCGCGACTTCGAAGCCTCGCGGAAGAAGGAAGAGCAGTCTGACCGACGCACGCAGAATGCCCGAATACTGGCGCTCACCGGCATGTCGTCTCTCGAAGACAAACGAAGGGCCTTCGACGCTGGCGTCGACGGCTAGTAAGTCTCCATACGGGGTCTGTATCTCACTAGATCTCTAATATCTATGCAGCCTGGTGAAGCCCGTCGCCTTCAAGACGCTAGATGTGATGTTCCACAAATTGGGCCTCTCATGAATATTTTCCAAATTTCTCTCTCTCGGGGACGGTTCGTCTGGTTCGACGCGTCCACATTTCTTACCTATCGCACGTCCTGCAGTTTCCTTTTCGTCGCCACCCGTACAGTGTGTCCCACACGCATCATATCATAACTAGCTATCAAGTCGCTTCGCATCATCATCATCATCACTCCCATCCGTATGCTTGTCTGCTGTTGTCGAATACCTCCCGTGTAGCATTTTAGCCAACCCCCACGATCTGCGATACCTATAATGTATACTAATATTTTGATTCCCCTTCCCCTCGTGTCTACTCACGACATTCTTCTCATTTCGTTACTGTCTGCTCGCACATCCCATAGAAACCGCATGCACAACATTACTGTATGGTACAAAGATGACACATGCCGAGCTACACGCCCGCGCTTTTGATTTGGATTGTATAATTACATGGGTGGCACAGCAAGTTGGCAAGTAATGGCAAGAGAGTGCGGCGTAAAAACGAGAGCGGCAAAGTTAGTCCAGATCCGGCAAGATAGAGACATGGTGTGCAGATGTATTTTCAAGCAGCTTTACACCTGGGTAGGGGTCGAGGGCCTGCTGACCGAAGGCTCGCGACTCGCGACGGCCGAGACGCCTTCTCTATGCTTGCGCAGAAGGCGATCGAGAGCCTCACGCTGTCCTGCAGCGAGCTGTCCAGACTGAATACCAGAATGATAGACGCGGAGGAGGGTGTCTACATCGTCCATGGACTGCGTACGGACGTCAGCGAGCTCCTTGATCTTGGCAGTGACGTCCTTGATCTGTGAAACGATGAGCGACTGCCATAATCGACGTTGTCATCGGTACTTCGTCCTTCCTTCGTGAGTTCTCGCACGGCAAGGACATGGCCTACATTACCAAGACCGCCATCGAAGTCATCGAGTTCGTCAAGAGCAAGGGTGCGCTTTGGACACTCGAGACCTATTTTCGCAGCTAACAATGAGTATGCTTCAGGCATCGAGGTTCGGTTCTCGTCAGAAGACTCGTTCCGTTCCGACCTGGTAGACCTTCTCTCCATCTACCAAACCGTCGACAAGATCGGCGTCAACCGTGTCGGTATCGCTGACACCGTCGGTTGCGCCAACCCTCGCCAGGTCTACGACCTCGTTCGTACCCTTCGTGGCGTCGTCAAGTGCGACATTGAGATCCACTTGCACAACGACACTGGCATGGGTCGGTACCCTGGTTCTCGATGACTATATGCGTTTGTCTTACCGCACATGTGTTACAGCTATTGCCAACGCGTATACTGCGCTCGAAGCCGGTGCCACCCACATAGACACGTCCGTCCTTGGTATCGGCGAGCGTGTTGGTATCACCCCTCTCGGCGGTCTCGTCGCGTGCCTCTACGCCGCGAACCCGGAGTACGTCAAGTCCAAGTACAACCTTCCCATGCTTCGTGAGATCGAGAACTTGGTCGCGGAGGCGGTCGAGGTTAACATTCCTTTCATGAACCCTATCACGTAAGTTTCATCTAGCTCTGCGATACTGAATGTATTGCTGATCTTCCTGCAGTGGCTACTGTGCATTCACTCACAAGGCCGGTATTCATGCCAAGGCTATCCTCAACAACCCTTCGACCTACGAGATCCTCAAGCCCGAGGACTTTGGCCTCACCCGCTATGTCTCGATCGGTCACCGTCTGACCGGCTGGAACGCTATCAAGAGCCGTGTCGAGCAGCTCGGTCTCAAGCTCACTGATGACGAGGTTAGTGCCCTCAGCAATGTATCCACACCGTCGACACCTAACAGACGGCGGCCACATGAGGTTCACGCCTTGCACAGCGTGTGTACTACGCGACATACCAGTCTCGACGGCGATGCGAGCATCGTCCATGTGGCAACGAATGTGGGTGAGGATCTTGGCCTTGAGACCAAGCTTGCAGATGGCCTCGCAGTCTACGAAAGTTCAACGAGTGAGTCAGATGCGTTCGATGAGGTGTGAAGTTTGACATACCCTTGCGAGACTGCTCTGACGCCGCCGGGCTCGTGAGCTCGATATACTCCACACCAAAGGCATCGAGAGCCTTGGCAATGGCGTATTTTGGTCTTGGTGTCAAAGAATGCGTTGGCGAATTGCTCGCCCTCTAGTGGAGAACATTAGGTATAAGCTTTCAGATCTCGTCCAATGTCATCAGTACGCACCTCGGAGAGTACTCTCAATGATCTTGAAGTTGCAGATATTGGATAGGAAGTCCGAAGCACGAGATGCATAAGGATTTCTCCTTTGCTGCTCGACGTGGGATTTGGCCGCGCCGTTGGTCGCATGGCCGTTCGCGCCATTGGACTGGACGGAAGTTTGATGACTTGTGCCGTTAGAGATGTCGACTGGGACCATCTGGGAAGGATCGTTGGGGGTAGAGTCACCGTTGGTGTGTGGACACATTTTTGGACGCGATCTAAGATTTTTTTGGAGGAGACGAGGGGAAGGGCAGCCAGGAGGAGGACAAGCAGTAAGGAGACAGCCAGAATTTCTATCCTCTAAAATTTGTGGAGTCAGATACGCCCGAGTCATCCAATACAATCACGCGCGCTTGCCGCTTTCGGCAATTTGATCTCTGTACATTCCCATATTACTCTCTTTCTATTCAGCATATTCTTCCGAGTAACGTCCTTTATTACCTTTTACATACATCGTTACAAAATACGCCGCTCACACCTCGTTTCGTCGTGTACGCTCTCGCAGTTCTTGCCGCAATACGCTACACCGCACTTTCTGCAGCGGTACTTGCCATAGTATCCACACACGGTGCAGATCATCCGCGGTGGCTCCCTGGGAGGCGGCGCGGTCGCGGTAACATAGGTCGGTATCGCAGCGGGGTAAGAAGCTATACCCTGTCAAACAGTTAGAAAGACCTCTTCACCGCCGTGACACTGCACCCACCGACTCTTCCAGCAGTTGTACAAAACTCTTCTTGTACAGCACAGCCGTCCGCACGTTCATAGTCGACTTTTTCTTCTTGCCGAGCTCGGCCGCCCTCTTATCCGAAGTCGCTTGACGCGCTCGCCCTTTGCCTGTTCGACCTCCGCTCGCCTCTTCGGCGTCTTCTGCGCCCCCTATGAGGGTAGATGGTTCGGAGTAATTTGATCTCTGAGGGGACATGGCAGGTTAGTAAGACAGAGAACGCTCTAATTGAGGGTGCCGCACTTCAAGCTCGTCCAAATGTCTCTGGGTACGCTTTGCGACCACATCAGGGTCAAACTGTGCTGATGCACCTGTCTGCGCCTTACGGGCAGCTATCTAATATCTTGCTTAATCATTCTTGACTGCTGTGCGGAGCGACATGCACGTACGTTGTCTTCGTGGAGGCATGAAGCAAGGGACGATGTGTAGAGCGCTAGCCAGGGTGCGCGCGTTCTGGTCGTGGCGCTCCAGGGCAGCGTCGTGACTGTGTCGATGCGATGTTATACATGCTTCATCTAATGCAAAACGGAAGTTACGTGTCCACCCAAGACCTGCGAACTTCAGACGCTTTTTGTGGATATCTGACGGCCGTCAAAGGTGTGTGATATACCTCTTGCACGCACATATACCTTCACGGTCTTTCTTCAGCAGCGACGGCACGCTTCCGATTCGAAGTGTAGTTACTTCACGACACAAGAGTCGCGGATAATGCCGATCGACACCATGGCCAAGTGTGTCCATTTCTCGAAATCATATCGCACGGTGTTATACAGCTTCCTTGGAGTCGCCATTATGTCATCCCACCTCTTCAACCACGACCTGTCGCGCGACCAATCTCAACATCCTGTTCCTCATCGGTGAGTTCAGTATCATTCATGTACCTGTCGACCTCTCTGTCCTGCTTCCAAGCATCAACCTTTGCACCGCGGGTGCGGCCAGATATACCTTTGATGCCGTCAGGCGCGGAGCTCAAGAGATCATCGACCTCGCCTGTTCAGCGATGGGTTGATATGATCCCAATAACGCTCGGAGACTAAGTACTTACCTTGGGGGATATGTCCCGTCGCATCAGAACGCTCCGTCTGCTGATCTTCCCTGGCGAATTTTCTGAAAGTAGGCTGGTTATCGGCACCGCGAGCACCAACGAGCTGGCGGTCGTCGTCAATCTCAGGACGATAATTGGCGTTGTCCGAGTCTGCAATAGCACGAGGGCTGAAAGTGGTCTGGTCCACACCACGTTCGGTGTTGGGGGGGAGGTTGTAAGGATCTTTGCCGACCGTGATGATATATGTTCGCTGATAGAGTTGGTTTGTTTCGCCTCATAGGCAAGTGGCCAACACATATACTCGCATCCGCAAATCAACGTCACTGCCGCGAGGGATCTCCACCGGTTGCCCTCATCCGTAATGTCAGAGTGGTAAACTACGACACTTTCTCGATATGGCGATGTCCGCTCTAGATGCCAAGCAGAGGATCGCGTTGCCGTCCACATTCGTCCAGTGTTCAATTTGTCGGGACTATCGCCCCCCCCCCGCGCGCCGTAGAGCTACTTTCGGCTCTAGCTGGCGAGCTCAAGTCGCTTGCAGTAGCAAGCAGGTGGCTTTGGCATATCCTGGCATTGTTTAGTTAGTAAAGCGATGGTACACTGTTGTTTTCATGCGTTGAACAGCATTGTAGTATGCTCCTGCAGTGTTCGTCGTAGCATATACAATGCAGGATATATCTGAGATTATCCCGCTCTATCACTAGAAGATCTGTGCAATTGAAGGAGTTATAATTACCAGCTGGCACATGTGTATAGGTCATCAATTGCTCTCGAGGTGTTTTGCGCCTCGCAACCCTACAGTTCTCGATACCTTCGTGTTAAGATGTTAAGCCAGGCTTTTTGATGCCTATCCAACAAAATAGTGCTTTTTGTGCTTCTTCTCCCCATCGCCGTCCTCACGCGCACAATCAAACGCTAGCGATTGGTACGAGCTTGCGCGCGAGTCCTTCGCCGAGCTAGGCCTCGAGCAGGAGGACATTGACGCCGTTTTTGCCAGCAACGCAAAAAGCGTATACGGCAGCAGCTCATAGTCAGGTGCCGGCAAGGTGCATAAGATGGGAAATTGGATGGATAACATGAAATTGGCAGTTGTTTGAGCGTTGTTGTACTCACAATATCACTGTATACTTGCAGGACAAGATCTCTTGTAGCCTCGTTTGTGTTGTGTATATCTTATATTTATCTTGATGTTTTGACAGAGCGTGCTTACCAACAGCAGGCTTCATACGAATGGCAAAATATCGATACAGCTGACCTTCGGCGTGCCGACATCTGCAAGCGTGGCTGTCGCGTGCCGGTTCAAAGAGGAGAGGGTAACATAGTCGAAGTCGACCAAACGGATATCGGTCACTCCTCTGCGTACTACTCAGTATTCGAGCAGACCGAAAGCGAGACATCAGCTTACTTACGACCGCACAAGCATGACCGCCGCCCAGCTGCCTACGCCTCCGCATCCGACCACGACGACTTTGCCTCGCCGAATTTTCGTCATGCCCTCCTCACCGAAGAATGCATAGTTCCGAGCGAGCTGCTCGCGGATGAGCTCTTCGCTGTATAGCTCGAGA